ATATTGTCTTTCAGTTCAATTCTGAGTTAAAAAGCAAAGACCTTTTTTTTTCGTCATCCATTTGTGTGATAATATTTTTTTTAAATGTCATACTATAACTTTCTTTTTTGATAGTCATACGAGTGCTGCTTATACTGATTTTTCCAATCCTTCGACCATCCTTCTTTGTGTGCTATTTGTCCATCATAGTTACTAAGAAGCAGCCTTTGGATCTCTTCTTCTCCACAGGACAAATGTTGGACCAGGAGAATTCTTTGACAGAAAACCCGCAACTCTCTTCCTCTCAGGTGTAGGGGGAGTTACAATAATGGTTGAGGGAGGGGTGATGCCACTGGGTTCTACAATGATAGGGGCCACCGGCTTCATCAACAACGGTTCCTCCCCATCCCATGGGTCATTTCTGTCGGTTGGTTGTGATTCTCTCAATTTCAGCATCTTCATCCTCTCTCTTAGTCTGTAATGTGGAAAAAAAGGTCATAAACTTGATATCAAGACTGTAAATACTTATTTGTATCATATTTGTTGTAAAATCAGTTAAGTACAGACCAGATCAGTATAGAAAACTGAACAACATTAGGCCACACCAATTTTAAAAATTTTGGTTCACGGATTCGCCCGCTTTATTTTTTCTGATTTGCCACAAAAAAAATTGCCTCTGAATCTACTCCAACAGTTGAAGAAAGTCCCCTCTCTTCAGAGTTGTTACAGTTCTTCCATCTATCATGCAATGCAGTGGTTTGGTCAAAAGTTAATAATTCATTGTTTGAATTACACACCAGCCTGGTATGTTGACTTCGATCATACATTGTATCTCCTATAATTATTCATGTAGTACTTGGTGCTATCATATTATTCCTAGGTCTTTTTTTGCCCTGTCAATTCATATTTTTTCTAACAAAAATTCGAGAACCAACAATAGTGATCAACAATCAAATGGTGAGGCCTTAGGAGAGCAGACATGGTACCTGAGTATAGGTGCACTGTGCCTGTTGATGTTGGCAGCCCTGCCTGTGTGTGGCAGTCTGGACATGGTGGGTTCAGACATGGTAGAGTGTTGGGAGGACGACGTCTTGGACACAGCAGACATGGTTCTGGGACGACCTGTTAGCACAAAAGGATAAAAGAAAAGTTTAAAAGGATTCTTCATCCTTTAAATCTTGCTGATTTTGTACTTATGGATCTCCTTGGTATTCAATTGGTGGTGGTGGCGTTGCAACTATGGGAAGACAAGACTAAATATTGAGTCCCTGGGATGAAGTTATCTTTGAGAACATCTACTTTATCCAACTACTACTATATCTAGATTTAAACTATAAACTGTTGAGTATGCACGTATAAAGACATGGGCATGGTGATGGCACTCTATCATGATATCTCACAGTAAGGGTTTATCATCATCATCATAATTGGGAAACCGTACTGGTCAGACTTACGGGGTCTATGCAACTGTACACAGGAAAACTTACCTGTTCTTCCCAACATCAGGTTGTGTCCAACAGAACTGTAGCTGGCCGGTGTCGGCCGCTGGGACAGAACCTTCCCCACCACCTCATCCATGGCTGCTTTGAATGATGGGTAATCTATTGCACAGGTCTGTCCTCTCCAGGCCAGGTATCCTGAAGAACAAGTATCGTCTTGTGAGCCATGATTGGATGGATTTAGTCTTGTGAGCCACGATTGGATGGATTTGATTAACATATGAAATCCTTTTGATGTGCTGACAGTTAATCTGACTCAAATGCATGATGCATCAGTAGCACCAACCAAATTGCTCGATGCTGGTTTTCATTTGTTAAGAAGGAAAGCATCACAGTACATAATGATAGCATATTCAGCACCAAGGACAGACCCCACAGTGGGCATTAGATGGGTGAAATCACTTTATCAGCTTCATTTAAGGCTCATTCATTCTTTACTGGTGATTTTCAAAGAAATCTAAGCAGGTTGCAATGCTGTTCCACAAACAAGAAATGGTGTTTGTTCAGTATGTTGACAGAACATGCTGTGCCTGCGCAAAACCCATAATGTGAATAGCACTTTGGCATAATGTCTTATTTAAGGTTGTATCAATAGATAAGGATGACATCCGGTCTATAGTTTTCAAATGTTGTGTTGGAAAAGATGCAACATTGACCAAACAATCAACATTGTACAGTCACGTATTGTCTACGGATGATCATTGACTCTCGACTGACTATCATTGATAGCTCTGGTTTAGAAGAAAAAAGACATTTTGTACAGAGCAAAAGGTTGTTCCCACTCACCATCAGCACTGATGACAACAATGGTTGGCACACCCGGTACACCAAACAGCTGGGGCACGTTGGAGGACAGTCTCTGCAGCATGGCGCCTCTCTGGACCGGGGTGTCCTTCTCCAGCCTGACCTTGGTTGCCTGGCAACAGCAGCAGTGCCTGATGGTCACGTCGTTCCTCCAGCAGCGGTCCAGGATCAGGTCCTGGAGTTTGGTCATGTGATCGCGGTCGTTTGCCGTGCTACAGCAGCAGGCGGTGAAGGCACAACGAAGCGTGTTCTCACGAGCGTAGTCGACAAAGAAGGGCATGATTCTCTTGGATGCAACACACCTGGAGAGAAGTTTCAATGAAAGATGTGCCATGAAAATGATGTTCCCATATCTTTTAGCAAAAAAGCACTATATATATTTCTTTGAAATATATGTTGTGCTGTTCAGTATGGTGGCTCAGCCAAAATTTCAAAATAATTTTAAAAACAACCATCTAATTTGGCTGCTATATAGCGCTATTTTCATAATTTGGCATCCTTTTTCCATAATGTTGATTTTTGACATCAAATTTGAAGGGCAAACCTACAGTTTTCAATGTCATAATCAGGTGTTGATAGCTGTTGGAATAGCCAAAATTATTAGGGGGCAACATGTACTGAGGCACCAGTGAGGGGTGTTTGAAAAATACAAGTTAGGATTAAGTATGTTGTTTGAGAATGGAAAATGGTTGGTAATATTGCACTTTGACTTAAAGAAAAGTCTTAAAGTAGTCTCCTCAAAAACAAATCAAAAAGGTGTCATATCATAAATAAGTGATTTCTTCTTGTCTCTCACCAGCTTGTCCAGAAGAGGATGACATCAGGTCTGGGGATCTGTCTCCTGGTGACCAGCGGTGCACAACCTTCTGTCATTACGTCATATACAGTACAGGCAGGGGGAGGGGTGCATCGCCCTAGCAACCACTGATTGACAGGTGGGGGAGACTGCTGCTCCTCTGGCAGGCTGTTGCCATAGAAACAGCACCCCTTATCTGGCCATCTGCAAGTATTGTATGAAAATTATATCTTATAACATCATACAACAATAACATGATGTACAAAATTACAGTGAGTTATCAACCAAGGATTGAGGTGTTCGAAAACTTTTTTTTTCCTTAGAACTACCAGAGTGGACCTAGCTTCCACCAAGTACAGTATGGGCATCAACACTAGGTAGCTGTAAACAATGTTAATATATAATAGTTAGATGTGCAAAGTTAGGTGTAATATAGCCAGCTTCCACTGTATCGTGTGCCTGCAAAGCTGTTGTGTGGTAGACAAGGGTGGTTATACTGCCTATATACTATTAGATAATGATACAGAATTCAGGTCAAACAGGTTAGTGTTTTTGAGAGTTGAGGTAATCTACAAGCATGTTCTCCAGTACCTGGCCAGTTGCTTGTGGACGTGATGGAAACAGAAAACAGCGAACGGCAGGAAATCCTCGGTGCAGACTTGCAGCGTGGATGACTGCTGCGCGTCCTCGGGATAGTGAGTCACCGTCAACAATTGCACACTGTGGAAACGTCTCTCCAGGTCCAGCTGTAGGGGTAAAGGTCACCAATGAGGATGTCACGCAAAAGCACCATAACTGTCTCAGCTTCTACCATAACCTCAAGTATATGGAATGGTTTATACATTGTAGCTTGTTGCTGTTCATCTGCTATATATCAACATATCCCTAATCCACATTACAAGACACACCTATTCAACTAGAAAGTTGCTCCCAAGCAAATGCAGCATATTTCACTCCATCTCCCTCCACATTCTAAAATGGAATGTTCCATATCAACCATACCATGGTATGGAGTGAAATACAACTATGCTGCACCATGATTTGCATTGAAATAGATGGTGCAAAATGGTATGCGTGTGTGTGTTATCTACGTGTGTATACATCGATAGGATTTGCATCAAACCTAATGAGACACATGTATGTTTACCTGGATGTCAAGTTTGGTGACTCCTTCATGTAGAACAGATCCGTACTGCTCCCCATTCACCTGTACAATGTACCCTCTCACGACTGCATCTGTGGTGTCTGTCACCTCCCATTCAAGGGTCAAATTCAACACACCGTGGGGGGGGGGAGGGGATAACCAAGATCACTGTCATCACATTCACATAGCACATTTTTTATGTGTAGAGTCTATAAAGGGTGAATACTCAATGTTGGTTTTCATTTGATAACAAGGAAAGCATCATGTTACATATTGATAACCTTTTCAGCACCAAGGAGAGACCACAATGGGGATTCTTGTATGGAAAGAAATATGAAAAACTTTGGAACACATTAACTTAATATGCACTATCCTCACTTTTGTATAGATACCATGATATTGATAGATATTTAGTAATTAGTATAACATTTTGTATTCAGCAAGATAAAACACACACCTGTATATTGTGGCAGAGATTTGAAACACCTGTAAATCATCTTTTCCAACTCTTTCTTGGAAGATTCCAGTCTCTCCATCTGGAAGAATGAGATTACATGTAACCTGACGTATATGAAGTGAGAAATACTGGAGGTAACTGTAAGTTTGAAAGTAAAGCCATCTTTGTTTTCACGGAATGCTGTCCTATGATACAGATGGAAAAGTAAGAAGTGTGAAGTATTTGTCAAATCTTGATAGTTTGATAAAACAACCAACAACAATGTCCTTCCCACCCTAGCATGGGACCTCAATGCCCCCTCCCCCCACACTTTGCCCCCGATGGGGTCATTTTGAGGTCAATGATGATGATGATGATGAACCCACCTCTGGCTCCTTGGATGATTTCTTGTGACATTGAAGACTTTGTTGATATTGCACTGATTTCTGCAGACTGGGTCAATATAGAAAGTACAGTTTGGATCAATTTTGAGGTATAAGACTTTTAAATTATTAACAATTAAATATTTTTATTACAACAGAATTATTAAATTGCTGTGTGCCATTTTTATCACTCAACATATTGGCTAGATTTTGAGCAATGTTTCTTTTATTAATGTCAGAATACAGTATACACATGTCATTGGCCTTTACCTGTTTTTCCTACCAACTAGTTCAAATATAATGTTTTCAATCTTCTGCCTCTCTCTCTGGCCAATCACAGACAGTCTAAGATGAGGTGGAGGTGGGGCCTGTGCAGGGACCTCTCTGATTGGTTTACACCTGACAGGGTGGGGAAGGCCCTCCACCTGAAAAGGGAAAATGGTGAGATGTTTTGTTTAAAGGTAACATACAATTTTGATTGCTTCACCTTATATAACTGTTTCAGGATGATAAATTCATACACAAAATATAAAAATTTTGTAATGAATTGAAAGTTTTACAAAATGATAGGCAGATGAAAGAAAATGTAAGCTTACCAGTATTTCCACATATATGGAGTATGATACACCAGCTTTCAGGTCAGTGAACATCGTGTGCCTGATGCTGGGAGGTAGGGGGCCTTGAACAAGTTGATGTCTATTGTCACATGGTGCATCCTCTTCACAAAACACCTGCGGATAATACATACAACACTATTCTTATATTCCATACACATTTGAGTGTCCACAATGAAAATGAAATTTTGTGTTCTTTTCTTGTCATCTGTCCAGCAAATGTCAGATATGCTCTACAAAATTGTCACATCAGAAGTTTATTCATCAAACACTACCTTGAATCCAGTGACCTTGACCCCACAGCTGTGAGTTCAGGGTCGTCCCACCTGACCCCGATGGCACGCGTCCTGTCAGCAAGTGCCCTGGTCACTTCAGGTGGCTTCACACCTGGCCAGGTGGCCTTCACAGGTGCAGACCGGCTGCTGTAGAACTCGTGCTCTCCCTGTCTGGAAATTGCCTGTAGAGTAGAAAAACAATTAATGGCAAGGCCACACCAATTTAATTAATTGGTGCTTGAATTCAACTGTTTCATTGTGATTTGCAAAAAAAAATTCAGGTTGTGAATCAACTCCAAAAAAGTCCGTATTTTGGCCCCAACAGTTGAGGAAAGTCCTTCCTAGTTGTTACAGTTTTTCCATCAAACAATGCGTTGGCCTGATTAAAAGTTCAAAATCGATTGTTTGAATAATAGGCCAGTCTAAGATGTTGACTTCATGGCTCCTATTGTAGCATTTGGGGCTATCATAGGAAACCAAGGCCTGTTTTTATTTCTATTTTTTCCCTGTTGCTTCATATTCTTTTCAGAAAAAATCCAAGAAACAACAAATTAAATTGGTGTGGCCTAAAAGCAGTCATCAATTGTCAAATCAAATCTGCATTGCATCAGTACAATAGTAAATGTATCAATGAATACACTAACAAAATACATGGTATAGCTAATTTTGAAAAGAATACAAGTAGGACCTGTCCTTGGTGCTGAAAGTATGTTCTGTTCATATTTGATGGCAACATAATGTACGTAAATGGATATTTTGATATGGATCCATATTCTGATAAGCAGATGAAAAGCAGATGTCTATATGACAGTTACAGTAGTTCATTTTGAAAGAGGAAAGCAAGGCTGACCTGTCCTTGGTGCTGAAATGGTGTTCTATTCTCATTTTATGGTTACATAATGTTGATGAGCAGATATTCTGGCTATGAATTCTTTAGTCATTGAAAAGCAGATGTTTAGATAAACATAGCATATCACATTATTCCTCCATTGTGCTTTATCTTTTTGATGTGCAATTTCAATAAATAAGCTGTAAAATGAGGTGCCAATATCAACAACAGATGCTGTTTAGAAAACTGAAATATAGTTGTGCAATCACTACAGCAGGGGGCTAGTCCACTGGTAGTGGTGTGTGTTTAACTCCCATACGCTTTCCTAAATGCTGAATACTAAGCAGAGAAAGCAGTATGTACCATTTTTTAAGTCTTTTGGTATGACTCGGCTGGGGATCGAACTCACGACCTACTGAATGCAAGGCAAATACTCTACCCACTAGGCCATCGCACCGGTTACCCATTGCACTTGAAAAATAGAAGAGAGCTTACCTGGACCTGGAAGGCATACTGCTGACAAGGGTTCCCCAGTCGGTACATGTACCAATGCTGATGAGGCTGAAACTTGGCCACAAACTCCCTGTCTATGTACACGTCATACCCACACAGCTCCGAGGCACCGTACGTTCTAGGTTTGCTCCACTCTACTGTGATTCCATAGAACATGCAACTCCTGGAAAAATTATAAAAAGGAAACTATTTATATTTGTGAATTCATTAGATAGCTTGAAACAATGTTTAGAGTTAGATGTTCAAGAGTTAGGTGTAACAAGTCGTTCGGTGTAATGTAGCCAGCTGCCGCCGCACTGCGTGCCTGCAAAGCTGGTGTGTTACGCCGAAGGGTGGTTATACAAGCACAGATACAGAATTTGGAGGATTGATCAAACACTACCGGTAATCACTGCACTTTCAGTCGTTATGTTTTGTATGCAAACAATATTTTAATGCGTCAATGAAGGTTAGACATCCAGGTAATGAGATACACTCAAAAACTTGCTGAAGCAAAATTTATCCAGTTGCTTGAGTAACAGTTTTCTTCTGAATGTTTTGATGCAACTGGTCTTTTAAAAAAGAATGTTTGAATTTTTGGTAGGACAATATGCTGGCTGTCCTTGCAGCCAATACATGTTGTTAATTGTAGAATCCAAGAATTTTCCTTCAGTTTAAGGAGACAACACAAGAAATTGAATGTACACAGTATCTCATTGCACATGGCAATTAACACTGAAGGTCTCACCTGACACGTACTACAGGTGGATCAGGAGGACCAACCGTCTCCACTGTCAGCTGTCGGGACTTACAAACAACTGCCTTCTCCAGCAATCCACCAACCAGCAGCACCCTTACAAAGTGCACAACACCAGGCTGGCAGTGGCCAATCACAAAGCTTGTCTCCCTTGCTGGCAGTATAGTCTGTTTTACCTAATAGTATGTAAAGCAAACATGTTATTCAGCCATGCTTAAATTATATGTACCCTTTTTGTTGTATACATACTACATAAAAGGCAAATATTGCTAACACCAAGTCAATAACGGAGCATTTGTTTCGAAAATATTGTGCAAATATGATTACACTGTGTGAAGTACACAATTCATAAAAGTAGACTGTTCAAACACTGAAATAATAGAGCAAACTGTAGATTTATGGCACATGACATACTTCTAATTCAGGTGAAATACAAGCATTACAAAATAGGACTACATATTTACCAAGGAATTGAACAGCCTTGTATAAAAAGGACCAACGCGATGAAACTCGCCGTGATATAAATAGCGTTTTTTTTTTGTCACGCTCCTTGATATCTGCCTGCGTCATTGTGTATGTAAGACGGTGTGTAAACATAAATGGCAATCAAACAATTATATATTCTTATGTCTACATTTACACACAATGAATGTTGGCATGGTTTCATTGCAAAGCTAACGCTAGGTTCCGTAGCTCCGTGCAAACAATAGTTCCGTTGGGCAGGGTGGGTCAGACCTTGTTATAAACTCCCGGTAACCACTTACAGGGATTGAGATTGCATATCTTGTTTTTCTTTTCGAGAAACCATGTACCATTTTGGGAATCTGGTTCTGATCTATATTTTTGTTAAACCAAATTTCTAATCCACTTCTTGAACTAGATCAGAATCATTTTCTTTTACTGGCGTTTCTGAGAATTTTGTAAAAGAGAGCAGCCACACTTGGATGTGCATTTTATCTAAAAAAACTGGGTTCTTTGTGCAATGCATTTAATTTTCATTCTTTCACACTGTGAAAATGCTGTTATGGGTGCGGCTAAAAATGTACCGGGTACGTACTAGCCCTCTGAGCTCATATAAAAGATACAAGACCGATGTTGCTTCAACAACTGGTTCCCCATAGCCTACATCAAACAAAGAAATCCAGTCCCAATATACACAGGGTCTAAGTCAATTGGTCAAGCACTCTTTGTGCTTTACACCAACACATCATTCTGACAACGGAATAATGTCGACAGGACCACACCTTTGGACACGTCGCACTGCTCCATTGCACCTGAATGTGTCGTATACTCCCCACACCTGTGACAAAACAGACACAAACATACAACACATAAATCCACCTTAATTGGTATTTAATAGGGTGGGAGGTGCTTAACATATCTCCAGTGTTAGACTACGTGGCTATGTCTTACTTAGACATGGAGTCAACCTAGACTTGTTGTAGATACAAGGCAAAGTAGTTTTGATCAGAAATGGAAACATTGTAGTAAGTGTTGTGTGTTTGACCTTCCCATACTCTTTTTCATACATGCTGAGTGCTAAGCAGAGAAAGCAGTATGTACCATGTTTAGAGTCTTTGGTATGACCCGGCCGGGGTTTGAACTCACGACCTCCCGGTTACAAAGCGAGCACTTGCTATTGAACCGAATATTGAAAGATCAACCATACTGGTAAATGTCAGTAATGAAATACCCATCAGTTAAGCCCTTAGTTTAATGTTACACAAATGGAGGTATTAAACCCTGAATAAATTATGTTTACATATGTTATCACATGTAACTAACCTTCACCTTAATCTTTTTAATCTGTCCCCTGCTGAGGGCTCAATCACTCATTAACTTTGTATTGGTTACAGTGTAGTACAGAAGTGAGGAGGTCTTCCTAAAACCAACCTACTTTAGACTTATGAAGGCTAGACATCCAGGTAATGAGATACACAAGAAATACCCAAACAATTGGATAGATTTTGAAAACTGTCAGACATTTCAAGCAGCATCCACTACTTTTCTGTAGTTAAACAGATACTAGTATTCATCCAAAAACTTTAAAAAATATAATGCATAATAAAAAAATTATGTCCTAACTGCATAATGCAAAGCTAGATTCTTAATGCTTTTTTTACTGTGAAAAAAGGTGCCCGAGCATTTGTTGTCAAGATGTTTTCAGCACTTGTCAAATGGTCTTTTCAAGCCAATGTAATATTAGTTCAGTGCTTTCTTCTTCCACCAGGAAGACCAGATAGTATTTACTGGTCCTTAATGATGGGGAGCATGTGAAAAGACATGATTATGTAGAGCATTAAGTGTTATCTTTCCTAAGTGATCTGATGGTAAAAGATCTGCGGTTGATTTCCGATTCCTAGCTTTTCATAGTCACTGAACCGCTTAACGCATTAATTGATTCACTCTAAAATGCCTCCCTCCAGAACTTGATCAGTCTAATTCTACAGTCTGATTCTAATTCTGAGGTGACCTAAAACGGCCTCTAAAGCGTACAGTCACACGATATCGCTCCCGTATTCATCGCAAGTGTTCCGGACAATGCCTATGAGGAGAAAGTGACCCGAACACCATCTATCACATACAGAGACGGGGGTAATAAAATCTGTTTTTTTGTTGTTTGCTGTTTACTGGGTTGACAAACACTGGTGAAATGGAAAGGGTAAGTTATAGGCCTGGTCTTTCATGGGTTTGAAAGGGAACGTGGCCCATCACATGGTTATTCATTAAACCACAATGTTTTCCATTGAGCTATCCCTGAACGGTAACATATCGAATTAAAAGTGTTTACGTGGTTTATGTGTGGTTTAAAATCCACGATCATGACAAAAACAAAAACACACTTTTTATAGCATGCTGGCAGAATGAACTGCACATGTGCAAAACCTGTAATGTACTATCCATTACACTTTGGCAGAAAGTCTTCTTTAAGGTCATATTCAAGTATCTGTATTTAAGGGTGACAATGAATTCTATAGTTTTCAGATGTTGTGTCGGAAAAGAAAAGATTCATGTGTCGTCTGCAAAGGGCAAAATTCTGATGCAACATAGACCAAATATCCAACCAACACTGTCACAGTGACAAATACGATTACAGTACTTTCTGCTGACGTGCTGACTTTTTTGGGGATGCAAAATTTGATTCAGAACGATGTCATTTTTGTTGGCAATTTGACAATAGCTTAGGATTGTGATCACTTTAAAGCTTAATAAGATGCAGTGAATTCTAATATTAGTAATAGGCTTTGAAGATATAGCAAATTTCCTACCCAGTTTCCCCGGTGTCGGCCACTGCACATGTATGGATGTGTCTGTTGCTGACACCAGCAGTAGGGAGAACTCTGGCACGGCCCCCACACGCTGCTGCTTAGCAGAACTGGCCCGCACACGCTGAGGAACTGTTCTTTTCCTGGGACTGAAAGAAACACACAATAATCTAGAGCCCGTCACTCATTCAGAACCTTCACCCGACCACCAACCAACCAAGGTTGGCTAAAGTTCAGGAGCAGTCTGACCAGATTTAGGCCACTCCTACCTTTCTATACAAATCAAATCAAATTTAAGTTAAATTTCAGTCAAATTTGAACACTGGACAAGGGTGACCTACTCCAAAACACCAGCCAACCACCAGCCAACCCTGACTGACAGCCATCCACACCCAAACATTTTGAGACAATTTTGGAAGGCACAAAATTAACAGTAGCTGACCTCACTAATAGTATATACCAGCCAACCACAGCCGACCTTGCTCCCAACCTACTCCTAATCATGTTTGGGGGAGTCTGCCAGTGTTCAGGAGACCTATTCGGTTCTGTGCGACCGGTGTTTCAGCTTCAGTTTATGAATGACTTGGATACTTCCCAAGAACAAATTTGCTACACATCAAACACACATATTGTGTTTCACACTGTGATTATACAAAGAAAGGTTCATTGACATCATCACAGCTGGTAGGAACAAGAGTTGTTTTCACGATACCGAAAAATCATGTTTTATCATCAACCCCTCACCTGATCTTTGAACCCCTGTGTTTGGGCTGGCCTTCTGTCAAGCTTGCTCCTCCACCTGACCTGCCCTTGAGCATTGTTGTCATTTACTTCATCTTCTTGTCCTGAAACAAATTGCAACACTCAGCATTTGGCATAGTATCAAAGACAGCAAGAGTGAGAAAAAGACAAACACAAACAAAACACATTTGCTTCATCTTCTTGTCCTGAAAAAAATTGTGTACGGTTTTCACAACACTCAGCATTTGACATAATATCAAAGACAGCAAGAGACAGACCGACAGAAGATGTCATGATATACATGTAGTAGGAAATATTACAAACACGATGGAAGTTGCTAAAGTTTTGTTATCATTACTGTTCAAACTATGAAGGCATTTTTTTGTCTAGCTTACAACGGTAAAATACAATACACACTACATTATCTTTTGAATGATCAACCTTAACTTAAGTAGTCTGACAAAGCCACGTGGCAAATGAGAGAACACTATGCATAACCATTAACTCTGTAGCTAGACCTTGAGTAAGCTAAGATAAAAAGCCTGTTCACCTTTGTATCCTTAGTTTGACAGTTTGTTCCAGACCGTCGTTCACATGTCACCTTGTGTATCCCGGATCTGTCATCAAAAATCAACAGGTGGCCAAACTGGTGTCGAGTGATAATCACCTCATCAGGTGGTAATTATCCAGCTTATCACCCACTGATAAGTCCCTGATAATCCTCCCGGGAATGTAGAAGTCTATAGGAGAGTTTAAAGGTGGTAGAAGAGGCAGGGCATGCCTACAGACTCGTTCCACATAGCCCCTTCACAATACCCGAGGGGCCTCCTGTAACAAAATGAATTACGGTGTTTTGGTTACGTCCATATACATGACAGGTTAGCCGTTCTTAATTAAATGAGAAACCTGAATGAGATTTACATGTAGGGCACGTCTACATGTTTCTATACCTGCAACAACAAAACGTTGTTCAATCACTTTTCAAATCGCTTTTGCTGACCTACCGTGGTGAGAACTTTGAGGGCGTCGCATCCGAAATTGTACGTTTTGCATCACAGTAACAAATGCTGGTAACGAGCTTTCTCCCGGACTGGTGCCGACAATACCTATCCATGTCAGATAAGCTAAGTAAACAGGTATAGAAAAACCTGCATAAATTGTAGCCGGGTGGCATTCATTGTACGCCAGGGTCAGGTGAAAAGCGGCGGGGGAATTAATAGGGGTGGCCACGAAACCTAACCTCTCATCCGCACCACTACTTAACCGGCGTCCAAACTTGGCTTAACCTTCACTAGTTTTCATTGCCATAGTTTCCATGGACAGTAACTGTTCCTCACGGTCACACGAGGCCGAGGTCGGGGTAAACAAGCCTCCATGAGAATTAATGCCGCTTTTGTGTTTGGGGTTTTGTTTTGAAAGGCTGTAACCTCGGTGCTAGGGGCAATGTTTAGTGATATACACCGCATTCCAGCCATGTGAATGGAGGGGAGGTAAAACCTAATCCACCAAGCAAAGGCATTCGTCTATGACACTTTTGGAACCTGTTTACACACAAGCAAGGGTAGTCTTATCTTGTAACTCTAAGATACCTGGATTAACGACATCAAGGCAGGCCGGTATTACTGACGGTTTACCCAGCCTTAGACAAAAGCAATCCTATCAAAATATCACTGATCCTTGCTATGAATATAAATAGTGCCACGCTTTCAAAAAGGTTGTTTGCTCAGGTTATTGTGCAAATATACAGTTATGCATAGCTGGGGATGGCTGAGAGGTTTATTTGTCTGTCTCTGCCTTCTTCTTTTCATTGTAGTAAGCTCACTGGAATCTCTTGCAATATGCTTTGGAAGGCATGAGCAAAATAATTTATGGCTCCAATTAGATTGTGTGTAGATATGAAGCAAGAGAGGCAACAGAAATTCTAGTCAGAACGATTGATTCTCTGTGTGATTATCTGAAGTGTTTTATTAACCAATTGTTTTAAAGAAGGGATTACACTTTTAATCCGAGATGGTTGGGTTTGGTCAATAGTAAATGGGGTTTATCCTGTACATCTAAACTGAGCTGTTCAATGACTTACATGTTGTATTTTTCTGCATGACAACAGAAAAGGGTTTTGGGGATCGAAATACTTTTTCCTGCATACTGGTATAACATTGAAATTTACCTGCACCACCAGACATCAAAAAGTGTGTATTATACTAAAACCTGTTCAGAAACCATTTCCCTTACCATTAGCTCCTCTAAAGTTTGGATACAAAACTATCTGATGGTAGCACAAAATGTCCTCAGATTATAAGTTAGGACACTTTTTACCACAAAATCTGTAAAAAATTTTTATATAATTTTTGGAAGTTTAGTTCAAAGAATGGGTAACAGAGGTATAGCTTGTGCTTTTTAATGGGGCATGGGAAATAATAGCATGTCAGAAGATAAGCAACAAGTTACCACAAGCTGAAGGGGAAAAGTGATAGACATTGTAGTCAATGTAGTAAGTGTACTAATAATGATGGTGTTGTTGCATGTGCACTTCAAAATACATGCTCAACAGTGCTTTTTTACCTGCTTGACTTTGAAACCACTTTGGTCTCATTACAGCTTCACTTCAAAACCAAATCATAAAAGCGAATGCTGCTTTCTTGTAACATACATGTAGTAACATACAGTATTCAAGTAACATACAGTTGTCTTGGCAGGCATAAGGGATTGCAAAAACATTATGACAACATGCTTTGGACTCTTCTTGGAGCATAAACCCAAACAACTTCACCTGAAGCTCACCTCTTAATAAGCACTGTACTCTTGTTTCTGTATCCTGGTTGAAGTACATGCACGCTAACACAGGCAGACAAAACTGGAGCATTAGGTTCCAAATCCTGGTTCTAGATGCGATATCTGATACAATGTGCAAGAGTTCTCAGCTGGGCGATTAAAAAGTCGCTACACTACTAGGCATAAAACTGTCAAGAGCATGATATTGATTTGCCCAGCATCTTACACACATCTATTCAACATAAGAACACTCAAAATGATAAAAGCTTTTGTCGGAGGTTAGAAAAACAGCAATACTCTAGTTAAAGGGGTTTAGCAAAATGCTTTTGTCACTCTAAGTGGTTTTAAAACACAGCAGGTATTTCCAGACATTTGAGCTAAAAACCTCTCAATGCATGCTGCTAGGAGATAAAGCTAACTGAACGCTTCCACTAATTGCGCTAACGAAAAAGGCGAAGTTATGTCATGAATAGCATACTCACTGTTAGTGAAGCCTTGTTGCGGTCAAAGTAGGGCCGACTGCAGACCTTGTATTTCCCAACATTTGAACTAAAACCTCTCGATGCATGCTGCTATAGGAGATAACGTTAAAGCTGACTGAACGCTTCCACTAATTGTGCTAAGGAAAAAAGCTAAGTTAACTGTGATGAAGAGCGTACTCACTGTTAGTTCAGCCCTGTTGCAGTCAGTCAAAGTGGTTCCAACTGTGGAGCCTCCCCGATATATATCCTGACACACCCCTCACAACAGGACTAAACAACAAGACTCCACGGACGATCACTGCTGACCTCGGATCAGGATGTGGTCTCAAACCTGGAATGTTGTTTCTCCAGACTTCACACTTAATCTGGCAATACCTAGTTCACGCTTTTAATGGCTTAGTACAAAGCTCTGATATAGGAGAATCCTTGGAATTAGTAATCGAGAGTGATTGGGTGGTGGTACAGCTACAGGGCTGCGTACCTTTCTGGACTAACTTTGCGTCCATAGGATCAACCTGAGCAACCACTGCCGATGGCTGGCATGTCGACCCAATTGATGATGTGTTTGTCGCTGATGGTTAATGGACAGAAATGAGCTGATTATTCCTTGTGCAAACAGATGATGGCTTCAGTTGAGTTGTTATCAACTGTGTGTTTCCTGTAGGCACTGCATGTGAGACTTGCAAATGAGGAAAACAGTCGCAACAGTCCACTTTACACTTAGCTGCTGACAGTTGTGTTCAAAGGTGTACAGTACATGAGAACTTTGGATGTAATACATTCATTCGAATCATAGCGCTCTAGTTCAGCGAAAGCCTGTCACACATTCAGAACCTTACCCTGACCACAATCCAAACCAAGGTTGGGAGCAGTCTGACCATATTTAGGCCACACCTACCTTTCTATAAGAATCAAATTTGAGATAAATTTGTCAGACTTGACTTCCAACCACTTCCGACCATTGAGTGTGTACAATGTCTTATTGCTCATACTAAATACTTTTCATCATATTGGGTGAGACATGTTGATAGAATAGAATATGCGGATGGATCTATGCCATCAGTTTCTGTGAACACATATTTTCCATTTAGAATATCAAATTGGTGTTTGAGTGTTTTCACTCTGTCCAGTTTAACATCTGTTGTTTCCTATCTCTTGATGTTTACATGTGCTCGCACTTTGATGCCGAGGCTTGATGGCAGCCTGCCATTTGCCTCTATCCTGTGGATTCACTCTGTGTAAGCTGAGGTGGTAGGAATCCTTGTTGACTACGTTAACATATCTTTATGGGATTTTCAAGGGTCTGCAGTGGGTATGGTATAAATTGTATTACAGAAGTCACACCAATAGACTAAAGAATTGCAAAGCAAATGCATAATGTATACCTTCGGATATGGTCTGCTCTGTTTACTTACTAAAACACATTCACATACATGTACTACTAGTATATGGTGAAAGGAGCTGAGCAGATCATGAAATTACAACATTATGTAACCCAACACCAGTCACCATGGTGACAGACAACAGCTCATGTCATTGGTCAGGTCAGAGGTCACTGTTTGGAGAAGAAGAAGAGGAAGAAACTGAGCAAAAACATTATGTTTTCCTTCGGTAAACGTAAAAAGGAAACCACAAACTTGACGCCATTTCCCGGGCAGATTTTATTTGTACACAAAGTCTTCCATTAGAAAGCCAGACGCTCATATACAGCCAAGATGGTGCCGAAAAAAAAATTGAGTTACTCTCTGTACAGCATTCAGGCTAAAATCATGCAATTTGGTTGCTACAGAACGGACTACATAGAACACTACACCATGTGGTACTAAAACTGCCTCCAAATGCCAACTACAATGTACTGCTTTCTACAATGTAGACAAATCATTACATTATTCTTTTTTTTTTAAACCATATTACAGGTGGAACCCATGTACTATCAAAAATATCTCCTTTACATTTTCATCCTATGGGAATTTTATACACATAGTAGACAACAACAATTGTACATGTACAGTAGAACAGTTATACTATGAAGCAGGTGTATACACCTTTTTTGACCATTTTTACACCAGAATTAGCAAGAAGACTTAAACCTGAAGGAACATGCATCTTTACCGATACTCACTCAGAGAAGGATGGAGATACAACACTTATCCAATTATTTGCAACAGAAATATTAGTGTTAGGATATTTTTTTAAACGCATCCCCCCCACCTACTTGAACACAAATCTTCTGCCACTACTACTTTTCTTCAATGCTAAGCAAAGCCAAACAAACGGAACCAAACATAGAAGGCAAAAAACATCCTATGAACGATATCACTAGCACACATGCTACTCCTGTCTAGAGTAGACCTTCACGCTATGTTCTGACATGAGAAAGAGAAAATCTTGCTACATCAATTTTGATGGAATGTTAGGAACAAAATGTCAGAGCGTGAAGCAATTGGTTGTATACTTTGTGTGGACAAAGTATACAGGATTCTATACAAGTTAAACACCTTCAATCTTACACTCTTCTGTGTTTCTAATACAAGATATAACTTGTAGTGGTTCCGAGCTGGAAAGACTAGTAACGTGCAATACTTTTACAGAATACACAGTTCGTACAGTTACAGAGGGAAGTGTCAGTCATCTAGTTCTAAGAACGTCTTCAAACAAGGACGAAGTTATCTTTCTTGGGGAAAGGAAACTCTGGTATTCAGAGTTCTTTGTGTATTTAAATCTTGCATGGGTCAAATGCAATCAATAACACTGGGTGTGGGGGTCATTCCGTCACAAAATGATAAAAGTTAGCAAAGTACTCCAAAGAACCTTAAAAACAATGCATTTTACAGGTTGGTCATTACTGTAAGCAGTTTACTATACACCTGAATTATTTGTTGAGAGAGATCAGATCATTTTTTACAGTACTATACACTCACGACATAGACAGATCCAAGACTGGAGATCGACAGGTTGGACAGAGAGGCTCAAGTTTACAAGCTTATCTGACAGTTACTGTGCAGGAAGGATACAGACAGGATTGTATATATACAACAGACTTTTTTCTCAGATGGTAGGCATACAGGAGGCAGACGTACTGACAACGAAGTCCAGGAAAATAACACAAGCAATCTTGGTCAATGTACAAAGCGGTTACTGTCTGTAGTAGGAGCTACTGGTTGAGTAGGACTGTGGGTACGGGGGGCGAGGGGGAGGGGGGGTAGCCGTCGTGCCAATGGGGTTATGTCCGTAGGCCCCAGAGGGGGTAGCTTGCTGTTGATGGTACTCTCCGCTGTACGCTTGCTGAGTGTAGTACTGGCTGCCCTGTGCGGGCTGGGCCCCTGCGGGGTACTGTTGGTACGACTGTGGCGGCTGCTGGTACTGTGAAGGGTACTGCTGCTGGTACGAAGGGTAGGTCTGCTGGGGGCGGGGGGTAGCTTGTCCCTGAGGGGGCGGAGGTGGGGTGGTACTGCTGGGGCTGGGGGCGGCTGTAGTAGCTCTGCTGCTGCTGTGGGGGTTGTTGTGGAGGTGCGGGCGGCTGCTCCGTGTACCCTTGTGTCCCGGCGGATGGAGGGTTGTAGGAGCTGGAGCGTGGCTGGGCTGGGTAGGTGGTAGGGATGGGCTGGGGCTGTTGATGCTGCTGCTGCTGTGTACTGGAGCTCCTGAACTCCTGTCTCTGCAAAAGTACAGAAGAATGTCAGTACATCAACATTTTGTGACTTTTTATACCGTCTTCCAGATACATTTTTAATCACTTTTCTTGTAGTCAATCCATTTATGAGAACAATAGGTCAACAGTGGTAGAAATACTACTTTCAGTGTTCTGCAATATTACACTTACAGAATCAAAATTTTGTTCTCCAATTCAGAAATGCGAATACACAATTTTAAGTCCAAACTAAACCCATCGAATATACAAAATTGCATGTTGAGTTAGTAGTTAACACAAAAGCAATATCGAAAGTTCTAGGTGAGAGAATTTTTGTGTTGGATCAAAAGTTTTAACTACCAACACAGATGAACTTTCATGATAACACAGTGCTCCTTACAGGGTTGTATCTGCTGCCAGCTAGCAGGGACGGTGAAGCACCAGCCTGCACAGGGCTGCTCGCTACTGGACTCTTCACATAGCAGCGGGGATCCTTGGTCTCTCCTTCAGAAAGCTTATCTGGAGAAGGACGATAAAATCAAACTATAGTTATTGCAAATGTAGGGCAGGCATCAGATCAGCATAGACAAAAGATGTAAAATTTTGATATTGTGAAGAGTAAACTTTAGATCCTCACCGTGGTTGTATCTGGCGTCGGGGCCGTTTTTGGGAGGAGGGGGTGGGGGTGGCGTCCTGTGCTTGCTGTGAGGGGGAGGGGGTGTGCGCTTGCTGGGTGGTGGTGGAGGAGGGGCAGGGGAGTGGGACCGGGCAGGAGAGTGGTTACTGTCCACAGACACCGAGCGGCTGTATACGTGCCCTGTGGGGGAAAATTACAAACAAAACAATCAGTTACAAGATGTTTCTTGTTTTGTTGGCATCCACGCAAACACACATAGAACATGCCAAATCCTTGTAGACATATAAAATCAACACTTGAACAACTGCTACTTTGTACAAGCTATAGATCCAATGGTCATTAAGATACAAGAAGAAGAGCAATGGTCCCATGACAGTTCCTTGAGGGACCCCAGACAATAATCTAACTGGAGCTGACGCATTCTCCTGTACCATGGAGGATACATCACAATGTCTCATACATCAAAACTCAAATGCCAAGAACACACCATGAGAGGAGCTATGAAAATGTGCTGAGTGTCATGCGGTAACAGGGCTTTGACGTGAACAGGAGACACATCAATGATGGCAGTTATAAGGTGCTACATGGGGCTGTCTTTCTCCATCTCCATAGTGGGTTCATTCCGAAAATAGTTCTGCAGTCATAGTTTGCTATTGTTAAACGTTAACGACTGACAGCTTAATATGAAAACATTAAATTTGATGTGAGGACAGGGCTGGTGATAAGTTACCTGGCTCCTTCTCCTTCCTATCCTTGTCTTTCTTCTCCATGCCTCTCTCGGTGCTCTGCCTGAGTTCTCGTCTGAACCTCTGCAGGGGGTCCTCCTCACGTATCCTCTCCACAGAGGTGGGAGTACTCCTGTCACAGGGACAACATCACAGTCAACAGAGAACAAAAACTGTTTTATCAAGATCAAAATGTTCCCACATTTCCTGCACTACGTCTTGCATTTTCTTCACTTAAAATTACAAAATACAGAACAGACAACTTAGGAAAGTAATGGCTGCAGAAACAGCAATTTGAAATACTGTACAGAAGAAAAGTCTATTCAAGAGCAAGCTTGGTTACAAGTTAAATGCAGATGAAATTGTCATGTCTTTAAAAGCCATTTGCTGCACAGACAAGTCACAAAATTTGCCACAGATGCCACCAATGCCTTACCTTTGCAATCTCATGTAATGTACAGACCTAGCAGAGGCAAAGGAATGGAAGAGTGAAGGCCGATAAATCAATGGATTACAGGGAAAGGCAAAAGACTCAAAAGAGCAAAGGAAGAAGATATAGAACTGATCTGAGGGTAGAGAATGCTCATAATAGTATTCCTGTGGGCAAAATGGTGGGATTGAAGCACCAGAGCAGTGTTGGTAAAGAAAGCTTCAAATCTACAATGCATGTATCTATCTACTGTAAATCATGATTTTTTTCACAGTACTTTTATATTCGCAGTTTTCACGGTCACTTGTGCACCTCGAATTTATAATTTCCGTGACCAAATGATTTACTGACTTCCTTTTTTCTGCTGACACCGGGAACATATATTTCCGCCAACAAGACCATTTTTTCCAGACCGCAAACTTTTGCTACTGCGAACATTAAGTGATTTACAGTATCTTGTTTTTTTGTGTGTTGAAAATACAGAATACGTACCATCGTTTGTCCAGATCATCCACAACCTTCCGCTCTTTCTCCTTGTCCTTACACTCGGCCTCCACTGGGTGGTCATACGATGGCATGGTGGAGAGTGGGGACATCATGGGGCTCTTTATGGGGGTTGAGGGAGCACTGTCCGGGGCCAGTTTTGTGGGTGTAGAGGCGGCGCTACTATTGGCACTGGAGTTGCCATCTTTCTGTCCCTGCTGCTGCCTCTTGCGGTATTCCAATAACGACACCTGGAAAAGACACATGTCTCAAGTACAACTGCCAAAAGTAAAGCTTTACAGCTCAACAGCAAATTGCATTGCTGGAATAGCTACCTAGGAAAATGACCATGCATACAGTAAATTGCTGCAACAATGTATGACTCATTGATGTAATCTTTTTTAGCTACGTATTCCTAAAAATATATGATGCAAGTACATGTATTCTGCCTTTTTCGTACCTTTCTCTTTGCGATTGGTTTGGAGCCTCCGTCTTCGTGTGCAGCTACTGGCCCTGGCCCCAGACTTACTGGTGTGGACGGTGCCGATCCTATGGGTTCTTCACTTCTCGCCGAGTACAGACTGGGCAACGAGGAGCTCAGGGACACACTACTATCCTGTCTGAGAAAGTCCCCTCCACTTGGAATAGTTCTCTCCTCGCTTGAAACCACCTTGGGCTCACCGTAGCAGTTCAACGATCTCGTCGAGTCGAATTCGCTCGACCTCTGTCCCGGTCGGTTCTCGTATTCCATTTTCCGCTCGTCCTGGAGCAAGGTGCCGTCCGAGAGCGACCGATGGAACTCCGGCGACGCCATCTCCTTTTTGAAGGGAGAGGAATACCTGGGTCTCGGGTCTCCATCCCTCTGGGAGTCAGTCCTTGTATCAAGCCTCTCCGACAAGGTCCTCTGATACAGGCTGCCGCTCAAGCTCAGGCTCGAGGCGTGGGAATCGTTCAGAGACGAACACGAGTTCTGCAGAGTTTGCATGGAAACCTGTGACTCGGACAACGAGCTGGACAAGTCGGTCCTGTCCCTCCCTGAAGGGTCACATTCCATTGGAATGTTGGCTGGTTCAGAATAGTCCGTCGTAACCGCCGTGGAATTTTCCTCTCCTTCCTTCTTCTCCTCCTGTGGAACTAAGTCTCTGGAAGAAGAAGAGTCCCCGAGCACGCAGCTTTCTCTCCCCTCGTGCTTAAGGTCCAGGCTGGACATGCGGGCCCGCAGCAGGCTTGTCTCAGAACCTGACTTCTGTAAATGTCTTTCCAGGCCTGATGCCGACGTCACGCTGGATGCCAACGAAGACAAGCTGTCCACCGATGCCTGCTTAGAAAGTACCACCTGGCAGAGAGGTAGGAAACAACGTCAAGTTAACAACTCCAGACAGTACATGTTGCTTACAAGAGAATCCAATCACTGTTTTTTTAAATTGGTTACACTTGTCACTACACATAACAGTGTCATTTGTACAGTACATCTCAAACATTTGTAGACTAATGAATTAGAATTAGAGTTGCTGAATCACTGAGCAGCACATCACTGATCACATCACAGCAGCAGAACTGTCAGACCATCATCAACAACAGCCACTGACATTACTTCACATTCCACCATACAAGCCACAGTCTGTAGGATGAATACCAAAGTGAAGTTACATGTTAAAGGCACACAAAGCGATTTCAGGGCAGTAAAACTGGAGTTGCAAGGTCATTTTTCTGGTCACTTTTGAAAAGTTGAATAAACACTACACCGTAGCATCCTGATATCTGTGAAGCAAAAATGTAATGTCACTGACAGAAAACGGTTCCTTGTTTCATATTGTAATCTGCTTCTAGCTATTTCTATTGATGGTACCCTCACGTAGCTTATTCAAATGCCCAAGAAATAGCAGTTCAGTTCAGCCCAGTAAATGTCAATATTGGAGATTTCCTTATCCAGAATATATTTTTATGTTTTGCCGCCCTGAAATTGCATCGGATGACTTTGAAATTTTAACACAACCCAGCTAGGAGCTAGAGAATGTTGTTCGATAACTCAGGTCCTGTCCAGATACGAGCAAGGTTATTTTTACGTGTTGGAGGCTGCCAAGCTATTGGTTCATTGGTTTCTCTTACAACTGGTATACCATTTAGTAATTGCAATTCAAAATTTGAAATTTCAAAATTTGGGCAACCAAAACTACAAAGGTTTGAACTCCTTGCATTATCATAAGGTGAAAATGTTAAACTTGAGACAACTGTAAGTCTACTAATAATTGTGTTACAGTTTTTGCCATGGACATACTTATCATTTGCAGTATTCCGAGCACTATTCAATAATGTCCAATTTTTTTTTAGTTATTATAACCATTTTTTCAAACATTTTAGGTTTGCATCATGCTTTTGTCAGGGTCCCTGATTTTGTACTAGGGCGATGGATATCGTCTTCATTTCAATTGGTGTCAATTTGTATTGATCTTGTTGATTTGGGTTAGCTGGATCAGATGGATGCAACATATCAAAGCAAAGAAAAACAGCATCCGCCTTTGTGCAAAATCAACTGATTGGTGGTGAAAACGATTATGTTTCACAGCAAACCAAAACGAAACGAGAAACAAAAAAACGAACACATCTGTCAGACCATTTACCTGGAAGGCATAGTACTGAGGTGGGTTAGAGTCATTGTTTAAGTCATGGTCATGAGCAGGGGAGTTTTCAGGTGAGGAGATGTTCTGCAAGGGTATAAAAGAGAACGGAGGCATGTGGTCATGCATTACACAATACGTACATAAGACATGCTGCATTCTACTTAAAACATAGGCAGTCTGCATAGGCATCTACACTCTACATGCTGTGTACAGAGAAAAATAGAAGACTAAAAGATCAACTAAAAGTTAACCATCAGAAAGGAAGGCTGCAATCTACTACAAAAGGAGAGTTAATATTCTGGGCAGTTATGAGAAAGAAAAGTTTCCTGCTTTATGACTTGTTTTACATCAATGGAAGAGGATATCCTAATTTGAGTTGTCAGCTATCATTGCTGGTTCAGGGTTGGATCTTGAATTTGTCCTCAGCTTGGTAGGACTCTTTTTCTCATCATTCCAGCATTTGGAAGACTTTCTATACAGCTAGGCTATGTATCTTGAAAAGTTAGGTAGGTTAAGTCTGATGTATACCTCGAACTGTGGAGTGCCTGGTGTGACCGGGGTGACGGGCGAGTACAGGGGTTTGAAGCCGTTCCGCATGGCGTCGTTTATGACGATCTTTGGCCTGGGTCCCTGTTGTTTGGCGGTGGCACAGTCCGTCTCCCCTGACGACGGGGGCGGAGTCATGGGCATGGGAGACATGCTCCCCTCCCCGGAGATGGACACTCTCAGCCGTCTCTTCTTCAGTGGAGTCATCAGTTCTGACACAGAAACACAACAGGGTTAGATGTTACATATTTATCATTTGACTCTGTACACCTAGATTGTATTTTAGTTTTATTTTTGCTCAGTTTTGGTTGATCTTTGGTTAATCTGTAAATCTGATTTATGTACCATATATTTTGTATCTTCTTCACATTAAGACTATTTTTAGATTCATTCATTCATCTGTTTATTCATTCATTCATAAAGGGTTCTTAGCTACACAACTAATGTGATTTTATCTGTTGGGTAACCTTCGTTTGGGCTTCTAGTACTGCACTGTGACATAAAGCCGGTTATACCCGCTATACCGGTACAGAAAATGACAAGGATGCTGTCAGGGTTGGATCTTGAATTTGTCCTCAGATTGGTAGGACTCTTTTCCTCATCATTCCAGCATCTATTCAAGGAAGGGCGTATCAAAAATATCTGCCTAAACTCTTGATCTATTTGGACCAGGGCTCTAGCCAGCAACCGATTTTCCATCAATTGCAGGAATTTTGTGACCAGTGACAAAAAAAGTTTTAAACCAATCTGTCAACCTTGATGGACAAAAATCTTTGGTAAAGACATCTAATGGACCACCACCAACCACTCTCAACCATATGATTTGCCCCTTAAAATGTGGGACATTTATAAAGGCTTGAAAATCCAAATTAGTCCTCAGACCACCGTAGATTGTGAACACTCTCCCCCTAGGTCCAATCATGAACCTGGGCTGATGGAAACAATTTTGAGCTGGCTAGAGACCTGATATGTACTACTACGAATAATAAAGCAGTGTCTTACCTCCTCCTGTTTCCTTCCCTGATAGTGACGAGACGCTGCCCGTTGGTGAGACACACTGTGGACTGTCTGGCCCGTTCATGCCGGTCAGACCGGGGCTGAGGGAGCCGCCGCTGGGAGCCGGTGAGTTACAGCCGCTACTGGGGCCGTTACTGCCACCTTCACTCATCGCCTGCCGCAGCCAGCGCTGTGGAGAACAAACATGTCAGATTGTCTTTGTTTTGCAAACTGCATTTAGACATGACACACCAGTTTTGTACAGTGTGTACATGCTGCGTACGACCAGACTGTAAGGTATAAACCACTCAAACCAGGAAGGACCTCTGATCTTTTTGATGGTCTTTGAAATACTCTCCTCAAACACAGGACCTCTGGCTTTATGTCCCATCTGAGAGGATGTCCCTAACTGAAGCTAGGTACTCATTTTCACCTGTGCCTTTAGTCTAACATCACAACAGTGGGGCCTACCAGGGGTTCGAACCCAGGACCTTCAGATTTTGAGTCAACAACCCTAACCACAAGACTGCCTTGTCAACTTGTTATATGCAGATAGCTGGTACCTGGGGCATTAGCCCTCCTATTACTTCGTAGTAAAACTAAGATATGGTCATTCACTGACATCATCAGAGAGTTCAAATCAGATATACAGACACAAGATATACATACATTTGTACCTCTGGCTAATATTGCCTATGTATGAAGGTACACTGTAAGATCCATATAGAAAAGCATGACTTCTTTGCCTGAATTGCTAGGAACAAAACAGGGAGGCAATGCTGTTTTAATTGTATAGCTATTTTTGTATTTTGCTTGTATCTAACGGTTGTGTGTAATGTTTTGCAATGTGTGGAGCACAGCATAAGAAAGACAGAAATGGTGTGTACCTTTTTAGCTGAGCCGAAGCTTGAATCCAGGCTGGGTCTCTGCCTAGTCTTGGTGGCGCTGGCCGGCACGTTGTGTCCGGGTCGGAGCACGTACGCGGGGCCGGGGCTGCGCGCCGTCATGCTGGTGCTGCGGGAGTAGGTAGAGACGCCGGGACAGGTGGTGGTCCCCGTGCTGAAGTCAGACGGCTCCGTCTTGATCAGGAGCGGCTTGTGGGCAGACTGCTCGTTAGCCTTCTCATTCAGCCACTCATTCACAAAGAACTGTGGAGGCAAAAACTGTTGTCATTCTCAGATAAAGGTGATACGGACTTACAGGCTTTTAATAAAAAACTAACTGGTATCATCTTTTGGTCACTGTAAAATTCAAACAGTATAAGAACCAAATATTAAAGTTCCTTTATTCATAACCATTCGTTTGACAGGAGCCAACGCTTCAGTGACCATCTGTCACCTTCATTAGGGCTATAATAACTGGTTCACTGTGCACTGGAGTTATGTATTACATGGTTCACTGCACACTGAAGTTAGGTGTTAATGCAGGTCCAAGCGTAAAACAATAGTGACATACATGGGTATCGTTACACCGAAACGTTGGCTCATGTAAAATGTATGGTTGTGTGAATTAAAGAACTTTAATTTTCAATCATTTACCAACCTAATAAAATTATTTATGGAAGTATAATAACCTTTTACATGGCTTACAATACATGAGGTCTTTTGGAATAAATAACATCATAGAAATACATTTAACAGGTGGTGCAGTTCGTAAAGAACATGCTAGGAGGCATTCCACAACTGCACCAAAATTTGGCCACGGACTCGATCCTCTGTAGTGAGTCAAACCTACCTTTTTGGTTTTGGGGAACTTGAAGCCTTTGCCCAAGGCAGCTGGGGACGGCTGTGGGACCGCGGTAGAACTAGCGACAGTAGAGACGGTGAGTTCCTGGGCCAGTGACGGCGATGGAATGGATGGGGAGAGAGCGGACACCGGGGTGGTCGGCGCGCTCAGTTTCAGCTCCATCTCGGTGGTGACGACCTCCGTGTGCGCGGCCGTCTCCGTGATGGGCGACATGGGCATGTCCGAGCTGCAGGTGCTGTTGAGGCGCTGCCTCCCGCGGGCCGCGTGGTTCCGTCGGCTCTGACTACGACGTCTCCTGAGAGAAAGAAAACAACAATCGCATCTTAACAAACCAGCCTTCAGACAATTATAGTTCATCATGGACTGGATATAGTCCCACTACAGTACCATTTTTAGAATCACATAATTAGGGGTAGCTAACAGTTCAGCTGAACCAACTCCGACTCGGAATAACATCCAAGAATCAATTTAAAAAAAAAACCCTGAAAATTGTGAACAATTCTTTTTTTTTTTAGACTCGTAACATATATATTAGAGACATGTTTTATTGAGACTCCCTACCTGGCCTAAAAGGTAAAGAAAAAATAATCCAGAATGAAAGTAGATAAGACTAAATTCGTATGCTAGTGCATCGAATAACATCATTCCAGTATACAAGTTCAACATAATTTGACCTGTCTTGTCAGATTGAGGTTCAGGTCCAGACTAAACCAATAACAAAATCCAGACTGAACCGGTAAAAAAAATCCAGACTGAACTGGTACCCACCCCTACATATGATGCTTCTGTGGCAGGCAGGTAAACATGTAACAAACTATTAACTGTATACGCACTGCACCTTGGTGTTTAATCTTTTCTTTTTCTAACACATCTTCAACTTTCATAAGAAAAATGTTCAGCGTTCACGAAAGCGTGACAAATACATGCACGGCAAACCTAGGCAGGCAACCGAACTGATACAAGAAACGGCTTTTATACGTCATTCTGTTTTACTGTGGAATGCAATAACATACCTTCTAATCTGTCTGTGAGGCGTGGCAGTCTGTTGTTTGGGAATATCCTCCATGTCCTTGGGCTGAAATAACAAAAGGTCAATGTTTCTGTTGTGTTTTGTTTGAATAAAGTGCAACAATTTACTATGATTGTTGTGTTTTGTTGGAATAAAGTTCAACAATTTACTATGATTGTTGTGTTTTGTTTTAATAAAGTTCAACAATTCACTATGATTGTTGTGTTTTGTTTGAATAAAGTTCAACAATTTACTATGATTGTTATGTTTTGTTCAAACTACCAACACAGATGAACTTTCATGATAATTTGGTTAAAAACAATTTTGTTACCACAATGGACTAAAACATGTTCCCAAAATTTCTGACAAAACTGAATACTGTTAATAAACAAATGCCTGAGGAAAAAACAAACAAACAAACAAACAAACAAAATACTAGTATCATTGTTGGCTATTCATTTGCTAGATCAGGGTTGGATCTTGAATTGTCCTCAGTAGTATAGGACGAACGGAGTCATCATTCCAGCTTTAGACTTAACACAGCCAAAACAAATATATTATATATATAGTCTAATGTACGAGTTTGTCTGGTAAATACCATGGGTTCTTCCCCTTCCTTGTTCTCATTGGGAGTAGCCTTGGTCTGCTTCTGTTTCTCGATCCTGGCGTGCGCTGCCGCACTGCGGGCCGCTCGCTTCTCCATCTTCTCAAACGTCCGCATCACCATCTCCAACTTCCGCTCTTCTCGCGTCTGTAACAAACACAGACAACACGCGCTCAGGAAAAATTAAGAACCACACGCTAGTGGTGCGTACCGGTTCGATGGACCGGTTCCGGACCGAACCGAATGTTTCGGTTCAAGTCCAAAAAAACCGAAACATTGGGAACCGGTTTTGGACTTGGTTAAAAAAAAAACACTTACATACACAAATACTTACAAAAAAGTTTTGTTTTAAACTGTTTAAAACCTTTCATAAGTCGCGAAATTTGCGACGGAAGACGCCATTTGATTAGACAACTTTCAATTTCATGTTAACAACCCCGACTGACATCGTCAAAGCGCGCCGATAACAAAAAAAATCCCCGGCCGGCGGAAGCTTCGCTAGTAATCGGCAGCGCTACGGAAAAATTATTCATTCCCAGAAGAAAAGTCACGCATGAAAATAACAAATAAAATGTATTTCCCTCGTTGTATGAGTTTTGAGGCCGTAAAATGTTTAACACGGTTGAAATTTGTCCGTAAAAACAGCTCGAAATTCCAGCGGACCCACGGAACACTTTGAAAACAACATGGCCGACGCTGCTGGAAATAGGGGCTAAAGGTCATTCAAGGAAAGCATCCAAATGTACATGATATTACAACGCGCTAAAACGAGACTTTAAACGCACGAAAAATATTTATTTCGGCAACAACATATTTTTAAAAATCACTCATATTTTAGAAAAGTTAATATTCAAAAAGTACTGTCAAATCTTCCAAATTTATTGCTTTCTAGTGTCAAAATATAAAATTGGTTATTTCTTATAATGTGCGGTTGGATGCTATGATATACATTGGTCATTGGACATCTACAAGTATTAAAAGTTAGAGATGATGACCAACCCTAAGAGAGAGAGAGAGAATTCAAGTGGCTCTCAAAAATGTTTGAGGAGTTTATAGACACAATCACATTTCTATTAGTTCAACTGTGTTAATATGTGATTTTGTTTGGGAAATGGGTAAGGTTACTAAGGTACTAGCTTACATTGAATATTAATGTCAACAACACCTTTGGAATACTTGCTCCAAGTTCCAGGTAGAAAATGCAGGTACAGTTTGTATCATGTATTTTCACTTGTTGAACTTGTGGAAGCACCGTTGGCCCCCGGTTAGGGGTCATAGCGTGGAACCTATGCCCAATTTTTTCAAAATTTAAGCATGCAAATACTTTTTTTTTCAAACATGAGGAGGAATAGAATTACTTAAGATCAGCAACTTAATCCAAGGCTTTAGGTAGGCAAGTTGCCCTGCTTACATCATGCCATGGGTTTAGGTCCGGACTTAAGTCCGGACCTGAACCTAAACCTCTGGACTCGAGTCCGGACCTGAACCTGAAAATTGGTTTAGGTATGCACCACTACCACACGCTTAAAGCCCAGTTTGTGTGATTTTAGACAAACGCAAGGAAATCATCAGATTAGTCAACATAATGACTGAAAACATTTTAAAGCTCTGTTTGTATGATTTTAAACAAACGTAAGAAAATCATTGGATTAGTCAACATAGCAACTGAACACATTTTGCTCTTACTACAACACATGGCAAAGTCTAGTAGGTTGTAATAATACCAACAGAGGTTTTGTCAAAACATGTCACAAAATACCATACCTCCTCTCGCTACCATTTTATCACAACCAATCAAGTAAACGAGGGTTGACCGTTTTGCAGAGGTGAAATGAAATACAGCGCACAGATTTTCATATCTAGTTCAGCGATGACAACAAGTATAGGTCTAAAAGGGCATCCTCTCTATAAAACATGAGCTGATGTTCCCATGTTGCTGTCCCCACTACACTTGGCTAACTGCTAGCTATGTGTCCGACTTCTCTTAGACATAACCAAAGTGTCTGGACTATAAACACACCAGCCAGACGGACCTGTAGACAAAATTATGACTTTTCAAGGAGGGTTACTGTCTGCCTCTGCAGTCAATAAGTCCTATCCAATCTCTGGAGGCATGGCCACTGCACATCCACCACCTAACCCCTGGTAAACCTGGTCATCCCCAAATAAGGGCAGCCCAGATCTGAAGTGACCTAATTAGCCTGCCAGGACATAATAAGCCTTCTTGACCTTTCCCGTGTTTCCCATTCATGTCAACAGTGGGACTGTCCACTTGGAAATTTGCCACATTCAACACACATAAGCCAACAATTCTCAAACACATTCCTCTCCCGTTTGGAGATCATTCGGAATGATTATTTCGGAGGTTTCTCTGCTACACAACATGTGGAGCAAGTTTGTTTGCCATGTGTGTACGGGACACTGATTTCTACTTCACTTATCTGGTCTGTCTGTACAGATACGGGGCCAGCAGTTTTCAACCACCCAAAACAGCTTGCATACCACAATAGTCATATTAAGGGGCGACTTTAACTTTTATTTCACTTATATCAGCTCATAACTAGCCTTATTCATTGTTTTCTTTTTATTAATTTGAATGCTTAGCCTAGTTTGAGGTATGGTAGATGGTTATGAAGTCAGTTCTGGAAACAGCTAAAGGAATTTTCACCCAACAGATGAACAGCCTGAGGGGAGTTTTGTGTACGAAACAAAAAAAGGTTCTATTTTCGGTGCTGCCCAAGCCCCCGTCTGTTGGGAGAAGAGCTCACCATCTTTCTTCTTCTTTCCTCAGCGGCCTCCTCAGTTTCTACATCCACATCTTTGCTCTCATCCTCGCCATCCGAGGTCATGTGGTTCTATCAAAAATGACGAATGGTAAGGTTCAGACTCTAAACTGATGTAGTCAGTCCAAAAAGAGTGCAAGGAGAGGTGCGTGCCAAAGGTGCTTTAAGGGGCAACTAAATAAAAGAGGTTTGCACCGCTTACAATTATTGTGTCTGTAAGCTACCAAGCGCAGACTAGCAGACTTGACAACAGCCTTATCTAGCCCCCTTGCAACCAATTGGGAAAAGCACCAGATGTTGCTAGTAGCATTTTCCATGTCATGCTTTGTTGCAGCTATACTTTTATTTTGTTTCAGCAAAGTTCCAGTAAACTTGCTTGCAGACTGCAGCTATAGTATATGATGCTCATGACTGTATAAAGAAGAGCTATCTGTCTGTCTTGTAAACTGCAAGGCGTGCCGTTTCCATGCTATTGGTTTAACTTGTTGCGCTGGAACTTGCGCAGTTTAAAGATTCTTTTCCAAGGAAACTTAAAAAGCTAAGACTCTGAGGTTTATATTTCTAGTAGCCATGAGCAGAGTAGGAAAGTTGCTATCCAAGGTAAGAACACTGAGCAGTAGTGTGTACTCAGTATGCTCTAACACACACCAGCGTAGAGTAGTGATACAATAGCTTCTGCTCAGATGGAACCAAAAACCAGCGAGGTACATTCAGCGTAGCCGCGGATGCGACCTCGCGTGAACTCACCGTGGAGGCGTTGTGGTTGAGCGAGACGCGGAGTGGAGAGACCTTCCTCTGTCGCCCCGTACTGGACTCGCTGTCTCCGCCGGACTGCTGGCCAGATTTGTTCCTTTTCCTCTTTTGCCTAAACAAAGATTTTTATAGAGAGGTTAACACGAGTCTAGAGCACCTTCCTAATAGCATTATCATAGCCTGGTTCCCAGGCTGTTTCCAGGCCCAGTATACAGGCTACCTCCTCAACTCCAGGGCCAAGGAGACTAGGGGCTGGCCTGTGTATTGGCCCTGGGAACAGTCTGGCATCCAGGCTAGCTTTACCAATATCTGAAATTCCTTCTGAGAACAAAGAAATGAATTTTCTTCTAGACAAAGACTGCTTACTGGAAATAACAAGTATTGAAATTATTTCATACGCACACTGCGCTCCCATTCATTTACTATTGAGCAATGACATAAGATACAAGAAGAAAGAAGATACCTCAATAAAAAGTGGCCTGCGGGCCGATTTAAGGTTTTCATGAATAAAAACAAAAGTTCAAAGATGCAAAATGCTAGTCATCTTACAAAAAAACAAGTCACACCTATCTAGAAGAAGATGAAAGGCACATGCGCATCAATACATCAAACATATAGTCCCTAATCATGCCCTGAGGAAGTTAATATACTTACTTCAGTAGTTCTTGTTTCTTGGCATTACTTTTCGCCACAGGGCAGCTCTCCCTTTGGCAAGCACACTCCACTTCACAGGGGCTGGAACATCAAACAAAACCATTTCAAAAACCTCCTAATACAATATGATATTGCTTTATCCTGTTCCCTCTAGCTACAAACATATAGAGGTAACAAAGACAGAATCTTCATCCGAAAAAAGAGCTGTTATTCTGTTCATTGGATGTTCTTTTGGTAGGAAACTCCATGAAATGTTGATACATTTCTAAGGGAAGATACTGTGGGTTGCTGTAGATCCAACTCTCGCCCACACATACAACATTTGTTAATTGTGGTAAGCTGTGGAGGGATCACACCTTAAGTCTTTTGAATCCTGATAAATTTCCCCCGGGATGGCTCAGCTCTTATCACCATCCTGACACTACCTCCCATGCAACTCTAGGGACGCAATACCCCCTCTTACCTATGCTACCAGCCAAACCAAGAACCTTAAAATGCTGTCAAACTTGACAAAGCGGCCACCTCTATAAGCTGGCCATCTGGCTATAAAAATTGCCTTTTCTCAGACTTTAGGTCCATTACTCAGTCTATTGAAAAATATGTGGTAATTTTGCTGCGGTTTTCTTGTTCTCTGTCTTGTCGCCATGCTTTTTGTATAAGAAGGCCACTTGTCTAAGACCACTTTTCCTAGGTACTGAAAACCTTGACTGTACAACCTCTTGAATATATGCATTTTCTTTGAAGATGGGTGCAATAGACCATAAAAGAAGCACCGGTCTCACATGCAGTGATCTAATTTGATGAGCAGAGGATATGGAACAAGTGGTAATAAATTACATTACTAACACATGATGGAAAGGTGGCATCCGTGCATCACAACAACAGGAAACAAGCAATGGCGGCACAAACTAGCATGTCCAGATCACCAGATATCAAAACCTAAAGAACCTGCAGTACCACAACATGCTGCTAGGGAGCCTAAAGTCGAACCATTTCTAGATCTCATCAAAGATGTACCCACCTACCAAGTTTCACGACAATCCACCCATAGCTTCTCGTGTTATCATGCATAACGTACATTTTTGTTACATACATACATACACACAAATGCTACCAAACACATAACCTTCTGGCGGAGGTAATGACAGAAGGACTCACCAGGTGTCAAAGTCGTAGTCGAAGCCGATGGTGATTTCTGTGCCCTTCATGATCTCTTCTAGTGAGTACACACACAGGTGGATCATGCCTTCCAACAGCACATGGCGGACCTACCGACACAGAACAGTGCTCAATCAAAAAAAACTGTCCATGTCACGAAACAACATTGTTTCAGCATTAGATGTAATATCAAAAGAAAGTATACAAGGAGTCAATGCACACAGATGCACATAATCTCCAAAGTTTCTCTTTTCAGTAGAGGACATTTTGAAGCAAGTTTGCACTGTTATTTCCAACACAAAATATTGAATATATTTGTGACAAGAACTTTTTACCATGCAACTCCTGTCTTTATCAAGGAAAAACCCTGGAAAGACTATACTATACAGTTGACAATTTTTGTGTTAAAAATTCCAGATCAAACTTGCTTCATAAGATGCACAACACTGTCCACACAACCTTACATACTTCTCGACATACGCATCTTCAAGATGAACTCTTTTCTACCACTGCAAATTTTGTGAAACAACTGGCCTATGGCTATGATCACTTTAAGCCTGAGAGGCACGCAGAAGACAAGACGGAATGTATTTTTGGCAGACAATCGCCTTCACAGATGCTGTGGGCTGGGAGTTCAAGTGTCTTTTTAAGGGTGTGATTGTTAACTCTGGTATATTCATCCTTCACTCCAGGAGGCAATATGTGTAGGCTAATGAGAGCAAAAGACGCAAGTCTCTCTCTCAAGGGCCCGGAGAAGGTCTCCATTAGTGACGGCTGGCTGACATACAGCTTATCTGTGTAGGCTATATTAGCTGGTATGCTTCAGGGCTCGAAATACCACCTGTATATGCAGCTTGGTGCAGGTAAAATTGGAGCTGTGCATGCCTTTCGGATGTCTACCTGCACTGGTCAATGTACAAATTTATATACAAATGTCGGTGTATGCTAGCCTCCGTGGCAGGCTTACAGAACTGGGGGTTTGGTGGTCTTCGCTGTTTTCTGATCAGCCCAGTTCTAAAAAAAACGGGTAATTCAATCAGGCCGGCTATGTTGTCTATATGCAATCAGAAAATAGCACATAAAAGCTCCCAAAGACCCCCAAAACCCTCAGTTTTTGGCATGCTATGGAGGCTAGGTGTATGTAGATGTGTTGACTGTTACCACATATGACGTGTAAATGAAATAATGTGTTCTGAACAGTTTTTTTTTATAGTTTGATCCACAGTGGTACAGGTAAAAAAAACAGCATTTCGAACCTTCTGTACTACATCAGAGGCAGTGTGACTAGCTTGAGTATGGTATGACTAACAGCAAAGCACATCACACCCAGGTTTGAAACTGTCATATCTTTCCCCCAATTGCTTGCCAAGTTGAAAGCCTTATAGACATTTCGAATGCTCGCAAACAACTGCAGCGGCAATTAGATTGGGGCATTTGGAAGCACTCCAAAACTCTTGAGCAAACATGGAACAGCAAGGCCGCCACTCTTGAATTACAATTTCCAATCTAACAAGAGGAGTTTCAACAAGCACTGCTGAGAAACTGTGTGCTCGCTGCATCTTTCATGTTGGAACCTAAGAGTCTTGAACAAACTGTTACACGAAGCCGTCTTTATATCCTATTCTTTGAAGTAAAATATCATCAAAACGGGGTATGTGCTTCTCTCTAGCAGTTCATTTGTGGAACACATTAAATGGCAGAAACAAATGCAGTGGTAGAAATACTTTTTTTTCAGTGGTCTGCAATATTGCAGAATGTTAAAATTTTGTTCTGCAATTCAGAAGATTTAAACCGATGGCATATACAAAATTGCCTGTTGGCAAACATTTTACATGCAATTTGAAAAACAATAATAAATATAATAAAATAACAAGTAGGGCATAATAAGACATGAAACATCAGAATCGGTTGTTTTGTTACAGCAACTTTTTTTGGCTCACCTCTGCGTTTGGTGTACAGGACCGTCGGATGTACCTGGCAGCGTTGCCAAAGCTCCGGGCGTCCACGCAAATTTCCAAACCGTTTACTGGATAAAACAGCACATGGGGGTGTGGCCTAGAATACAAACAAACACAGCTCAAATGTTAGTATTCTTACACGTGTGTTTTATATTCATGCCTCAATATAAACTATACCTATAGTGAGACTAAAAAGACCTTATTGACAAACATCAATATTTCTGTTTTTCAAAAAAGCAATACAGACTAATATAACAAAAGTCTTAGATTGTACCATATTCAAAATTCATTAAACAATCAATCTCACATTACAGGTGTCACATACACGAAACTCTAAGAAAAAGCTTTACTAGTATACATACTTTGCTTCACAGCAATGAAGGTAGAAAGTAGAAAGCGTGGAAGTAAAATATGTTGTGACGCAATCTTACCTGGAACTGTCTGGAATTTCCACAGCAAATTTGTCCTTTTGTTATTCCGCAATTATTTGTCTCAGTGGAGATTCCAGTATTTTTCCAGCTTCCCTACTTTGATACTACAGACTTATGGCTGCCTAGTACCTAACTAATACCTAGTTACAGCTAACTAAGAAATCTTAAGAATCATGTACCTCTTGAAGAAAGGGTCTTGGAACTCCTGTCTGGTCATGACCTTCCCCCTGTATTCCAGGATGGGCTGGTTGTCATGGAGATCCCGCAGGGCCCTGACACACTGCAGACACAACATGTTGTCTTAGTCATGTTGGCTTTAGTTGTCTTAACCACAGGAAGTATCTGTTTCAGTTTCTACTACATTCCAGGATATTCTAGTAGACATTTTTCTGATACTCCTTTCTTTACATGTTTGACCTTTCAACATGCCATGTCAGGGCTCCAAATACTGCATATGTAAGTTAGTGCAGGTAAAATTGGAGCTATGCAGATATTTCTGATGTCTACCTGCACTGATCCATGAACTGGGTTTACATATACATGTAGGTGTATGTGGATTTTTCTTTTATTTTCTGCATTAAGTATTACCAAATATAAAAGAAATGATAGCAATGGTTTTCAGTTTTTAGTATGATCCATACTTTCTAAATTCAGTGTGAGTACAAAAAACTTGTGGTGCAGGTAAAACTTGTCTGGTGCAGGTAATTTTCAAATGTATGCAAAAAATGGATTTTGAGCCCTGCATGTGTGCATACATTAAAAAAACACATTACAAGGAAACATAATGGAGAAAATGTGTGCGGACTATGTTTGGACCAATTACAAGGACCAGGTAGACTGCAGGGAAATCTCTGCTCTGCTTATGCTTAGCCCTGAGCTCTGTGAGAATCAAGACAGTAAACCCTATACTTCCAAGAAATGGGTCTCTGTAACCTGTGCTGAAGATTTGTCCACTGTGCTTGTCAGACAATCTGTCGCTCTCTGTAGATTCTGGATATGTGAATCATTGCCGTTTAATCTCAGGAACGGATATCTTACAAAATCCCATCCTTACGTGTCTTCTGTGGGAAGGTACTGTTTTCGGTCGTGTTTTTTGTGTGTTTGCAGCTATAACTCTCAGTGGGTTGACAGATTTCTTTTTAATTTTCGGTATATGATTAGTTATTGGGGTGCAGGTGATGCAGTTTTTTTTTTGTTTCCTTCGTATCTGTATTTTCAGGTATTTAAGTAATTTTCCACCCCTGTGCTGTATGTGGGGTGGTATCACCTATCAACAGATTCTGTCCACCAGGCTATACCACAATACTTTTTGGAGGGGGGTATTATGTCTGTACTGAGTATTAAAATTGTGATGTCTGAAGCAGTTAGCAGTTGTTGTGAACATTATGTCTTACATACTTCCAGTTTGGAAACTCAGATTTCGCTTTTTATGGCTTCACCACTATTGAAGACATATTGTTTTTCCTCATGTTTCTTCTCCTCCTACTACCATTTCTTTAAATTGATTCAACTCCTTCATTTTTGGGCCAAATAACATGAAATTTGGCATGAAGGTACAGTGGGCAAATACCCCCAGTTTCTCCTTCTTTCCCTGCCATGTCGTAAAATGTGGTGAAGCCATCCGCTACATTTGCTCCAAAGCAAATGTCGGCCTTTCTAGTCTTGTATGGTCTTACCTTCATGGCACTGCCAATGCTGGCTATTTCCCCTGACTCCACCTGTAGCTGGTCTGATGAGGTGATACACACATCCTGTGGTGGACAACAACAACAGATTCCAACATTAGATGTAGCCTAGTTGGCAGGAACTACATACACAAACAGAAGAGCATCTCTGCATCTGTATCTGCATGGAGGCAGCTGGCTACATTACACTGATTTGATCTATTAGTACACCTAACCTTTGCAAATGTAACAATAAATGTTGTTCAAAGCTATCTAGTGATGATGTACTCTGGCTCAATGTACTGTTCAGAAATTGAATATGTCTCAGCCTACCTCCTCAGTATACTGTCTGGACTTCAGGAAAGAGGCCAGGTCTGGGGTGTACTGGTTGAAAATGGCCTCTTGGTAGACGTCACTGAAGAGAGAAAGAAAAGAAAAAAGGAGTTACTGTCAGTACTTTGGCGTAATTGCGGGCTGGGAGCTTGTTATCTAGCTTGGTGGCACTGTGTGCTATAATTGAACTGGGTAGGCAATTATACACCGTACTAGACAGGCAGTCCATCTCCAGTAAGCTGGAGAGAAATGGCCTCAATGTGACATGTCTCAACTCATTGATGGATTCTGCCGAGGGATGCACGGTGCCTGGGGGAACCAGGTAATTGCATGTGGGTGGTAGACCTTTCAAAGGCAGGAAGAAAAACATACAGGCACCACAACAAAAGCAAATGTATGGTACAACATTTTCTTTGTATCTTCCCTGCAAGAAATGTTAAAAGCACTTCCGCTTTAAAGTCACTGCTAACATATATGGAAAATATGACATAAACTTGCAAGACATGTCACAACACAAAGAGATAAAGCCACAACAAATAGTAAAAGGAAATGTATGGTACATTTTCTTTGTATTTTCCCTTTAAGAAATGTTAAATGCTACTTTGACAATGAAACACGATTAGCCAAAATTCATGTGCATGTGCAGTGAAAATTACTATCATTCCAGTACACTGTTAGTGTATTTCAACATAATTTGTAGCACACTCAGACCTGTGCTTGTGTCTTGCCCGCCAAAATATGATACACAGTGTAGCACTACCATATTCCTTTCTGTAATGCTAAAAATCAGGTTTTTAGGTCCAGACCTGTCCTCTTGACTTGGATCAGGACTTGGACTTGATCGAGCTGAACCCGTACCCACCCCTACTGTGGAGTTACTTCCAAGGAGTTTTTGCCTTCTTGCTTCTGCTCAGGCAATAATTCACATGCTTTGCCTCCCTCTGTCTCCCGTGCTAACTGTTCGGGTTTAAGTCCCATTAATATGGGATCCCATCTCGTGCCCGTGCATCTCCGAGTAGCTATTACGCCATGATTTGCAATTCTGCGTCGTTTGTTTGTCAGAACAAGTTTTAATGACGGTTTAGATGGAGGAGCTCACTCGGGAACAGGTGGGGCCGGCTGGAGAATTGGCAATTATGCCTAGATACCCACCTGCATGGTAATTACTGCAGGAAAAATCTCTGTACTACCGCTACATCTTAGCATGGGTGATGTGAATTTGTTCCCAATATTAGCACACCCTTCAACAAAACTGAATAATCTTTCTTTGTGTAGGGCCATTTCTTGCAAATTTATGTCATATTTTCCTTACGTGTTAGCAGTGACGTCAATTCTTGGTTATTAATTTTTTGTACATTTTATGACCAGGCTACATATAAAAAGATGTCTAAACAGAAATCTCCAGTAATATTTGTATGCCGTTATGAGTAAAAAAATTGGATCAGGGCTCGGTGCTTGGATGTTATCCCAAGTCGACCCAGGTTCAACCTAACCAGAACCCGCCCCTACTCCCCAACTTGTCGAAGTCTTGGCACACACACAATATATCCTGCACCGAAATAAACATAACAATGTTAAGGCAACCATGCAGCCTCCCTTCCCCTTTATTGCTTGTGGAGAAAGAGAATCAATCCGTAACAGCCAATAATAGCCTGCTACCTACCGATCACAGCAACTCCGCGCGTTACGCTTCAGCGGTTTTTTTTACCTGTCACCAAATTTGTTTGGAGTGGGGCACATAAAGGATCCCTACATGCCATCAAAAGCAGAACTAACCAGGGAGAACCTAATTTTATTACACGGGCTCACTTCATTTTCTGAATTACGCACACTCGAATAATATACCGTTGCTCATCAACTCAGTTCCCTACTGTTATATGGAAAGCTTTTTTTACGAACTTGAATACCCTTGGAAAACTACATGCCCCCGTTCTATCTCATTTCAAAATCAGCGGGAATGGCTTAGCGGCATTTTGGCAGTTGCTGAAGAGCTGTTAAGAATTTGAAATGCTAAATAAAGCCAAGGGCAGCGCGTCCCAAGTGGATAGAGCATGCCATCCGATGCTTTTATTGTTCTTGTGTGTGTGGATATTGACTTTTCAAGGTCAGTGGACAGAGGGTCACAAATTTGTCCTTCCAAGTGGGTGCGAAATATTACTTCTCACACCTGGGAGAACTGTAAAGCCATAAAGGTGAGCTGGGAAAAGAAGAGAATTGCACAGGGACGTGACTACTTACTCGTGGGTGTAGTCCCAGGGTTCGTTGGCATCTTCGTTATTCAAAGAGTTGAATCCATTGGGCGTGCGGTGTACCTGTCAAAAACACACCAACCAATGAGAAACTGCGTTAGAAACAATGTTGGCATTCAAGAAAATGCGTGACATTGTCACATAGCAGAAAGCTTTTACCAAGATGAAACCAAATTCTGCTGAAAGAGAAATGCGTTACCCTTCCCCAAATTATCTTTGCCTGCCACATTCAATCACGGTTTACTGGGTTATGGTCCGACATGCATGCAAATTCCACCGTATTATCTGTCCAGCAGATAGAGGGTATTATTCCCACAGTGCAACAACAGCCAAAGTCACCTTGTGCGAGGGATACACGCCTCATCGCCAATTCAAAAATCAGCGTTTCTTTTCTTTCTTGAGCTTTCCTAGGGGGTTATCCAGTCTCCTAAGATTCTAATGATACACCGTTGATAGATCGTTCCTGCTAGAAAGGCTTTCAGGTGAACTGCTTATTACAAACAGTGTCATTTTTCATCAGGCATCCAAGGGATCTACTTTTCCCCGTACAGACAGCTCCGACACACCTGCCTTACATGTGCAAATATTGCACAGACTTTTTCTCAGCTTAAACTATGCACCAACTTGTCAGGGTCCAACCATTTCTCATGTGTAATATCTACTTGAAGGGAAGCTCAATACATAATTTGGACAGTCCTCTAAGTAAACTACAATATTGATTTCATGGAAAACACCATTAGAAGCCTTTTTTCTCAATGTCATTCATATGCGTGCTATGATAGGATCCTTTGAAAAGGGATATTTTTTCAGAAAAGGATACAATTTGTGTTTAAGTAAGACAGTTGGGACTTTTATTATGCGAATTTTTATTAGACATATAATATGATGTACATGGCTAAGAATTAAGACAATGTATAACTGACATAAGCAGAAACTGTGGTATGGTCTATTAAAAACAGATCAATCGACCTACCTTTGGTTTAGATGCTCTCCTTGTAGGATCCCGGCATGTCTGCAGGTAAAAGAAAAATGTTTTAGAAAAACCATCGATATTCCTCTCATGTTCAACAACATAAAAAACATATCCAAATCAACCACCTGAGGACCACTTTAACTTGCTCAACGTAAAAACAGCCATTCCAGTTCGATAGTTCTATTTAATCAGTCTTGTGGGGCTTAGCCTTACTGTTTTTATGCCTCTAAATATTAAAGTGTTGGTATAAACCGTTCGGAAGTTTGGATTTAAAAGTCAGAACACTTTGCTCAAATAATTCTGAACTAATCCAATCTTGTTCAAGCATCTCAGCAGCTACACTAGATATTAAGAATCAATATTTATTAGATGTATGCTATTAATATTCATACATGCATTACCGGGAGAGTTTTACTCCAAGTTGAACTTTAGTGGGATGGGGTAATAAAAATCAGCCCTGAGTAATAGGGCCGTAATTCTAGAGCCAACAATGGAAATCGACGAACAAGCTATGGGACCAGGTGAGACAGGTTGTTTAAACCCATTTCCCCGGCAAAGGAGACCATGAAATAGCCATCTGTCTGCACCTGAATGCATAATTACCATCTGTTCCACGAAATACAAAACCTTCCCTTCCTCAGTGTTACAAATGGCGGTAAGTTATGGACTAATATCAGGGAGGCTACATTCGTTTGCGGCCCTCCTGGCTTCTTCGGTGATATGAAGCCCGCGGTACGAAGGCCAGCGGTTCAATAATTCATTTGGCCGAATAACCCGAACCCAGTCCTAACGGCGATGGCACCGGGCAAAACCAATACCCGAGATCCGACAACTAAAATTGAATGGGAACATTCCGCCGAGCTGATCTGTAATGGCAGGGGCAATCTCCCGCCTTTGTTATTACTCTGGCTATTTGTACAGCAGATGTGTCTGAGGGAAAATCAAGTTCACCGGGCCAACAATAAAACCATCACGGAACAATCCACAACTCCACTAAATACGGACGTAAACTTAAAGGGTCATATCTGAAGCGTGGACCAAACTTTTGTTATTACTTCAACTGTGGATTCTACATTTGAGGCAAGCAATTGAGCTTTTGCATATCAGGATAATGTGCCTGAACGATTATTTTGTAGGCAAGTATTTTGAGTGAGGCACGAACACCTGTGTGCTACTAGCCTGCATTTTAAAGCCACAGTGAAACTGCTCAGATTTTACCATATAGTCGAACTCAAACCGTATACTAATAAATCAAAACTGACATGACTGACAAAGCTGGCTTATTGATGAAAACGTTCTACGTGTGAGGATCTAGAACTGATTTTCACGAGAAACCAGATCTAGTAAAGATGATTTTCTAGACATTTTCTAGTTAGAGAATCAATGTACACGCCAACAACAACCTTTTGAATGACCCAGAAACAGTTTTTCACAATTGTCATGATCTAAATGTATCAAATATTTTTTCAACTTTTGTCAGATCCCTGAGTCATACTGTGAAAATCGTAAATTGGGATGACAGAATATCGGTAATAAATAACATTAGGGCTTCATTATTGCAGATCCCAGGTAAAATTAATCCAGCAGCAATACAGGAGATGAGTCCGCGTGGGAAGCTTTATTAGATCAAGCAAGCGTCGACACAAACACTATCGAAAACATTGGCGAAGAATTCGAACCTAAAGTCATGCAAGAAGACAGTACAGTGGCTGACAATATTGACTTGGAACCGTACGCTGTTGCAAACATGTCCGATCATGAAACTGTGTCATGAACACCACAACAGCTCGTTATAGGGTCTGTTTTGTGTGACAAAAGCATAAAACAGTCCGAGTAAAACTCACCTTGACTTTCTTTTTCCTGCCCTCGTGGTCTTTCTCGCCGCTCTTCTCCCGTTTGCGTTTCTTGACCTTCTTGGTGGGCTTGGTGGTGATGGTGACACTGGTGGGCGTGTGGGACACCGCCCGGTACGTCAGCATCTCATCTCCGCTCTCTGTCCCGCTCGTGTCATCATCTGGGGATAAACAGACGCAAACCGTTCAATTTCCTTATCCTGTAACACTGTACACACCAAACACTAATCCTCAGTATTGACTGGTCAGCAAAGTAAGTAGCAATAGCAGCTAGCAATTTAGGAAGTATGGATGATACTAAAAACTGATCAGAAACCATTATCATTATTTCCTTTATACTTCAGGTGGTAACAGTCAATGCAGCAAATAAAAATCCACTAACACCTACATGTATCTATAAACCCAGTACATGGACCAGTGCAGTTTAGGTGCAGGTAGACATCAGGAACACCTGCACAGCTCCAATCTTACCTGCACTAACCTTCATATGCTGGCAATGTTTTCAGCCCTGAATAAGTATCAAAAGCAGCTATCAGGTGTAACAAACAAGACAAGAATGCTACCATCACATGTCACCAGTTAGACATCACTCGTACCTAACGTATATCACAAGAACTGCACACCTGGAAAATACCACATCTGCCTAGTAGACAATTTTTTCAAAAAGCACCATTGGAAAAAATGTCAACCTGTCTTGATACACCTACTAGTTTAGAACACTGTCAAAAATAATACTAAGAGATGGTTGATGGACATTATTTCGAGAAATAATCTTATACCAGCCTTATGATGATACGTCCCATGGACTCCAGTGTTAAGTAAGCCACAACACTTTCGACAAGCAGCTCAGCCCTATAAAGGTCCACAAGCATGTCACATGCACAGTATCAGTCTAGTCCAGCCTGCTATGTAAATAACTGACGACAAGAACTGGAATAGAAGCGGGCTAATGTTCGTCCAAGATGCCATGCTACTTGTTGGTCTCCTTTGATCTCTCCCAGTGCCTAAGGCCACAGCATGTAAATTGTATGGATGACATCCTCTGCAGACTCCAAATCTAACGCGAGCGGGCAAGAGAAAAAACAAGGTGGTCCAAAAAAAACAAGGTTCCTACAATTTAAAATTTAGACTCAATCATTGTACAAATGGTTTTGATTCGGTGGGAACATCAGATTTTCACAGCCAGCATCACATATCACTGTATCAAAGTAAGAAACAAAACATTAAATCAGAGCCTTTTCTTGTCTCCTCTCTCCATAGTTATCTGCCATCCACCTTCCAGCATGGCAACAGACAATTTCGGCAGTGACCACTGTCAGAAGGCAACAAAATTTCTTGTTTTTTTTTTCCAAAATCAGGCAAAAATTAATGCGCGCGCTTATGTCATCCATAAAAATGACTTGCTGTGGCCTAATCACACACCAGGAGAGTTGCTGAAAGCCCACTGTTTACCATTCACAGGGTAAACTATGACATCATGGCTGTGATGTCATCCCCCATCATGTGATGTCACACGTATACGGACAGCTGCAATTTTTCTCTTTCTTTGAATAAAAAATATGTGCTTTACCAAAAATACATTTTACCAGACAATCAAGAAAATAGGCTGGAGTGTGAACACATTCTATTACGTCAGGGAAATATATGATAGCTTTTCAGCATTTTGAGATTTTGAAGCATCAGGTCGACATTGTGTAAAACATTTTGTTGGTGATGGAGAAAATACTATCTACTCAGGTTGTTTTACAATGTCACGAACTGACACAAATAAACCATTAAGTATAACCCCTAACCATAAAATCTGATTTCTGAAAAGAACTAGATACTCATATACCATATTATACAAACATATTTATCCCTATTACAATTCATGCAAACCTTTTATGTATCTGAAGGTTAATGGTCTGTGTTAAAAAATATCATGACCCAAATACTAAATGGTAATAATATGCAAGATTTTTGAACCAGAATTATCATTATAAAAGTGGGACAAAAAACTGAAGCATGGGCGCACATGAGCTCACCTCCTAATCTGACCAGGCCATGGGAACACTGCAGCCCTCTATGGATAGAGTAACCCTCGGATTCCATCTAACAACAAGGCAACCCCTGGACCTCATTTCAAAATATCGGCAGCTGTTGCCGGACCTGTCACTTAATACAGAACCACTGTGGAAGCCATGGGGGACGGGCCAGCTATCTCCGTAAGTGTACAGTACTGCACATCACCGCAGCATAATTTGCTAGCGGTGGACATCCTCCTCTTTTTCAGAGGCAGAATCGGAGGCTTTATTAGATAGCTTCATGAAAGCTTCTTGACTGATTAGCCATTCTGAATGAATGCCAAGTCCCCTTTCATCCCATGCATGGGTAATGCCGGCTGGGGAAGCTCCACTGACAAATGAAGGACGAACAGGCATTGAAACTATCACTCCTATTTTTATAGAAAGGGCACAGTTCTAGGGGGCAGTCAGGGGTGAGCGAAAAGGACAGGGTACCACTCGCCATGCTACACCTGCAGGATTCCTGCCACATGTGACCAGAGGTTTTCTGGTAAATTTTTCAATATACAGTTGATACAGAATTCTATCATACATGAGAAATTTTCCTATCATACTACAATATAGGCATATATGTGTGTGCGGTACGCTCAGCAATACATTTCACTATCTTATCACCAATAACGGTGTTAAAAAAATTTGGACGCCATAAAGTTACCGGGAAAATAGGAAACAGTATTCCCATTGCAGCTCCCCCAAATCCTTTCCACTGATAGCAGCAGCATTCTGTGCGTTGGGAGGCAATAACAAGCAGCTTCTATCCCGTCCACGGTAGGCCAGCTATGATATCATTGGTGGGTCACAATCTCCTGCAACCCAGCAATCTGCCCCCACCTCCAACTACTAAAGATTTCATGTGGCCTCTCGGTGGGAATACCCACCCTTGACAGGCCCCTGGACTTGGCTGGTGATGAATAGGTACCCATTCCACATACCATAGGCTATCTCTTTGAGAGGCTCTTCTAGGTGATTCCTACCGAAGGGATGCCAGCTCACTGTCTTTCCAATCCTGGGCCTCAGGCTCAGATAATCTGCCCACAAGGGTCCATTAGGATCAGCTTTTTGTTTGCAGCTACTTTTAGAACTCAGCAGTAATGTCAATAACAGTTGGAACACCAACTGGGGCTTACACAACGTGTGTGATTTATAACTTTTAATATCAACGTGTGCTAATGTGTAACATACATCTAATACCTTCTTGGCAACGTGTTTGCATGATTTTTTTTTCTTAAAAAAAATCCTGATGTTCACAGAACAAGGCAGTGACCCTGTATGCATGTCTCCCTCATGCAACATTAATGATCAGCAATTTCATAGCCAATAATTTTCCTCCTGGTACAATGCCTTCTGTTGACAGAAAGGATGCATTTCTGCAGTCTGGGCTTAAGTGGATTGATTCTGTAACAGGCAGGACGGGGTGATTTCTTTTCCGGGGGCTGTGATAAACTGTCCGTGCCCACCACTCAAGACCTACGCCTCTGTATGTAGGACTCTGCTATCCCGTTGCCCTGCCAAGATTGAGGTCACGGCTATTTACCACGTTCGGCTCTCACCGTCTGACGGGAGGGTAGACAGCCATGGAAAATCTGCAGGCCTGCGCCCATCCTTCATAAAAATTGCATCGGGGCAACGTCGTAAAAAACAAACCATGCACCGCCGCTCGGGTTTCCCCTTCTGGGGGAATTGCGAAAGATTTCACAGCCAGAAATCTACGACCTTTGCTGATGAATAGGCCGGGAATACAGATAGCATCTACGACTCGGATTCGGGAGTTGCGGCCACACGTCCTAATGGATACATGCACAAGTGACTGACACACAACTGGGGGGAGCATTAGAGAGGTTGTCATCATGGATTATGCTCACAAGATATCTCCCATGTGACAAAAAATGTAATTCTTATCAAGACTAGCTGCTGGAGGGTACAGATGTCTATTTTCCATGCCTATTTTTATTACCTTCAAAGAGCATTCCTCTCTATAAATGACTCAACATTTGTGCAAACTAAAAATCCAAAACACCCTTTTTCTACAAAAATACTACAAACTGAATGAATCAAAATTGACAACTATTTGTATGAAAATGAAACATGCTATGAAAAACCTATCCTATCCATGGATCCAGGGAAAGAGTTACAAAATGCACACATGTGGCCAGACATACCAAAGGACACTACCTTCGCAACAATGTTACTGTTGCGCTTTGGGAGACCCTTTTGAATTCCGTGCTGTGCTTGGGGTGAGCTGGAAACTTTTGATTGAAAGCCGAGATGCGGGTGGGTCCTACACTTTGTGAAATAATCACTGCTATAGTGTTGAAGGACAAACCCTCCCTCCTGTAACACCAAAGCCAGAGCCGGAAGCAAAAGCCCTAGGGTTACAACTGCAATTATGCCTGCTACAGCCTGCATACCACAAATCACTACAAACATCTGAGTGTACAAGGAGTCAAATTGAAGTTAGAACACCCCGCATACGAGATGTAACCAGAAACTTCACTCTCTCATCAAATCAGCAGAGAGTCAGATAACATGAGCGGTAAGGACCATACAGAATCCCATTATACAACACTGGGGTCAGGGGCTGATATTGCCGCCCATAAAATATGGGCTATATTTGCATAAAGAAGATATCACCGGTAATAAAAGTGCCACTCTTGACTGACTGCCAAGCATGGGTACAAAGCCTAAACTTGACTGAGTCAAAATTAATGAAGCAGTCTTAAATCATGGTAACATTACGGGCTCACGGCTCTTCCTGTGTGAGCCATCCCTTTCAGGGCTAGGATTATGGATGTCCCTATCTCCGCACACGGCTTGTACGCCGAGCATTCTCCAAAAATTCCCTACGACTTTCCAACGATTTTTCCCCGGCCCCGCTGGCAATATTTCTATCGATACCCTCCGAAACAAAATTGAACCACCTCCAACTTATTACAACATTCCTCTCTTCAATGTTCTGATTTCATCATTTTTTTTCTCTACGAAATCCATTATTTTTCCGGGGTCCTTGATGAAATTTCCTGACCTACGCTGCCCTGGGGATGAAATCTTATTTTCCACAGGACAGTGCACCCTGTACAAGGAAGCGGGGCCCCTTTTTGCCTCCGACTGTGCGATCTAACCGTATTCAGCAGGGTGCTTGCGAGCGCCCCGGTGATGAATTTATGCTTGCTTCACCTGGGCGAGCTGCTACCTGTTCTGTAAGGGTGAGATAACAAAGCCCTATTACCATCCGCCAAGCTGGGGACCAGAGATAACCGTGAACAATGCTCCCAGCTCAATCGAAGGCAGGAGAAGAAACGACAAACATACCTTCCCCCCAACAAAGGATTACAGGGAGGCAAAACTACGCGTGCAGGCTACAAATATGTCAGAGAAAGCCTGCACAGGGTAGGTGACTTTGCCAACCGAGATGATGAAGGGGGTACTCCTAACATTCTGACAGCCATAGCTTTAGATGTGCAGACACCTTATACTCTCTGCGGTGCAATAACAGAAGCGGTACCAACTTTAAAGCGTCCGTAATATTCCAGCCATGACAACTACATACAGAAAGGGATATATTCACTAATTCTCACACCTGGGGCATATATAGTGTGCCCATATATTCATCAAGTTTCATAAATGAAAAATCCATAAAAATTGTGATATTCTGAGGTTCAAAGTATACCACATCAAGCAGTGCTTCAAACTAGTAGCAGAATGGGGCTTCTTTTGACTACTCACATTAAAGTAGAATGAGTTTTAACCTCGTAACCCAACACATATCATCCTGGAAGAGAACTTGGTAGTAGCAGTGAACATTCGTCATGAAAATGGTACCCTACGGGGCTTTTGGAAGAGATGAGGGGACCCAATATTGACAGCGAAATCTCATGATCATGTACGCGTATACGGATTTATAGGACAGAAAGCACCTGCTGCAAACTGAATGGGATATACATCGGTCTCAAACAGTGAGAAAATCTGGGAAGTAGGCAGCTGCTGATGCTGACACAAATGGCTTCAAGCAGCTTTTCAAATATCAGTCATTTTGAGGGAGAAATATTTGCAACATTAGCTGGCATTCTTACAAGCACAAGGCATGACAGATACAGATCCTTTCCTTGCATTAATATCAGTATCATTCATAGTCATTACATCTGAACATCACATCTTCTTGTCAGCATTATACATCTACATAAAGCATACCATGGTCCACACCATTACGACAACACCTACTGCCATCTAAACTTAGAGAAAGGACCAGGGGCAAAACTGTTAGCTTCATACTGAGATATTATTACATAAAAATACTAACAAAAATTAGAGACAGCATGGTTGGGCCATACATTTGGCCCTGGAAAATATTGGAACATAATTTTGTCCGGATTAATTATATTGGGACTAACACTAACAGCAGGAAGCAAAGATATTCCCCACGTCCTACTTGCTAAGGACAGTGTAACAGTACATGAGCCTGAACTGAACAAATTTGGTTACGCTTGCTATTCGGAATGCATGGCAAGATTACACCGATGGAACGCCTCAAGCTTTTATTCTGCCAGATGCCCCAAGGCTGCCGTGCTATCAGACTCCAAATGAAAGAAACATTTGATAATCCTGGCTTCTGGGGTGTGTTCTGCTTACACAAGAGAACTGCAAACATAAAGCAGGCAAAGCAAGATTCGGCTGAACTGAATTCATAACTCTGACATTTTTCACAACAATATGGCTCCAAAACACCTTTATGAACAATACGCCTTTTCACAGATCATTTCACTTTTTAATATAAAGCCTGGTATGATATCTTGTCAGCTGACAAATTTTAATCCATGGTACCGATATCTGAAATGTCATTAGGAAAGGTTACTGCAATGCAACAACACAATTCTTCCTGGAGGTAGGGTAGGAAGCATATGGTGCGGATATAAATATTACTGTGTTGAGTAATTGTGGATTTTAAAATGTCTTCATATTCCAATGATATTCTCTGGAATTTCCCAATAGAGTCCATTCCGCGTCACCGAGTGGGTTGTTATTGTCATTATTTAGAAATGTTTTGAATTCTTTGTAATTGTTTGTCTAAGAAATTTCATTATTTGGAAATATTTTGAACATCTTGTCAATATTCTAAATAATTCCCTGGTTTTCTAAAACGTTTGAAATATTCCTGATGTGGAATATGACATTTCCAATAGTTTCTAAATATTTCTAACAGCACTCTACCATTTTTTACCATTATTTCGAATTATTTCTAACATTTTGTAAATAGGTCAGTGGGATGGGAAGGAAGTAATTCACACATCCCTGTGAAGTACAGGGTAGACTGCCTGGGTGTCAGGCATTGATGCCTTACAACAAAAGAGCCACCAGTGTCCAACAGTGAAATCTAAAAATATACAGAAGAATACAGAAGAG